ATTACCCCCCCACACACACACACATATGCTGTGGGTACCCTCATGTCAATTGAACATTTTGAGCATTGGAAGGAGATGCTGTTACAATTGCTCACAGTTCCCCTCTTTTCCCCTCGTTCCTTCCTTCAGCTCGGCCATCTTACTCTGGAGGATTACCAGATCTGGAGCGTGAAGAGTGCTCTCGCCAACGAATTCCTGAATCTCCTTTTCCAGGTTTGTCTCCAACAGACCTTCCTTTGCATGGCAATTAATGTTCCCCCTCCCCTCCCTTCCCAAGGGCCTTCCTGCCTCCTTTTGCCGGCATAGGATGGCAGGTTGCTCCGTCAGCTCTTCGGCTGATGCGTTCCAGGCTCCGTCTGTTTTCTTCCCAGACGCTTCTCTTTGCCTGCCCAAGGCCGCGTTGAGTCGGCAGACGTTGGGGCGGCGTCATGGGATGCCTCCAGGCCCAATCTGTTGGTGTCGGGGGGGGCGCACGCGCTCTGGTTTCATCTCAGATTTGAGAAGCATCCGTGCAACAAGACACGCATAAGAAACCAGAGGTGTTTCGGTGGCTCAGCAACACCCTGGCGCTTTCTATGGATAAAGTTCTCAAGCTTTGAGGGCCATTTAAGACCACATCAATTTTTAGTTGGGGGATTATTACGGTTTGCTTCAGGAGCAACAGAAACAGCCTTGGGGGGGGGGGCTTTGCATGGCATCTCCAGAACCTGAGAGTGTGCCACGCTCTACCCCCTCCTGTGTCAAAGGTCTTCTCTTCGACGTCCTTCCGCAAGCCAAGACCCGCATCTCCAGGCCGCCTTTCCCTTTAGTGAAGGGCCGGCCAAGAGATCGCAGGTGGGATGGTGTATATTTTGTCGCTTTGAAATCTGTTTTTTTCCCCCCCATCATGCTTTCACCTTACATTTTTCATATAAAGTTATTAATTCTTCTTTAACATCTGATTCATTTATTGCATTTAGCTTTTAATCCTGTGTTTTCCATTATGTGAGCTGCCTTTGGTCGTTTTTGTTTCAGGAGAAAGGCGGGGGTCAAAATATTTTCAATAAAATAAGTGCAAGAGCACAGACTCTTTACCTTCCTTCTGATCCATTGCAGAGTTGCTTCTTATCTGGGGCAGTGTGGTCTAGTGGTTACCCTCTCCAAGAGGTGCTTGCGAGATCCTGGTTTTGTTCTCCACCGAAACTTGAAACTCACCTTGGACCTTTGGCTTTCTCTGACTCTGACCCGCCTTGTCGGGTTGTTGTTTTGAGGATGAAGTGGGGGAGGAGGAGGAGAAGAACTACTTCTGCTTCATCGGCCTTGTTGAAAGACGAGCAGGAGACGCTGGCAAGCAGAGGTGGGGAGAATTGTGTTTTTGGACTCCCAAAAAGTAGAATTCTCCAGCCACCCGAGGCGCATTCCCCGAATCCTGGACGGTCTGGAAATGCGCAAATCTCCACACCTCTGCTGGTCAGCGATACAGCAAGTGTTGATCAAGACCTCTGTATCCAATGCTTCCCGCAAGAACGGGATGCTCAAAACAAGCGAGCGGCCGATGGTTACGCATGCCTCGCTCTTAACAAGGCCTAGGACTGGGAGCCATTCCGTGGCACCCGATCCAAAGGCCTTTAGGGTCAGGCGTCTTGGCTTGACCCCACAGCCAACCGGACACCCCAATGGGAAGCCCACAGACAAGGCTCGGGTTTAATTTCTGAGCCCCAGATGGGCTTTGCGGTGTGCGACTCAGCCGTTCCTCTTTCTACCGCCACGCCCCTCCCTCTCCTTTTCTCTCTAGGTCTGCCACATAGTCTTAGGTTTAAGACCCGCGACTCCGGAAGAGGAAGGACAGATTATCAGGTAGGTCTCTCCAACCCACCCCGTGGCTCATGCTCGAAAATGGCTGCCTGCGGTCCTTTTCCCGCTGCCTCGAGGGGTTGCCATCCGGATGGCGGAAAGACAAAAAACCGCTCCCGGCTCTCGCTGTCGGACTACAGCTCCCATCTGTCTGGGCCCAGAGAACACTCAGGTCCCATCAGGTCTAGCCGGCGTGGGCTATGCGGCAGGATGATGGGATTTGCAGCCCAGCCGTGCCCTTTCCTGCCATATCCAGATACACCCACCCCCCCAACTTTGCTGTTGTCGTTGTGGCTGGACCCGTCTCTGATCTTTCCTCTCTTCCTCCTCCTCCTCCTCCCCCCCCAGGGGCTGGCTAGAACGAGAAAGTAGGTACGGCCTTCAGCCCGGGCACAACTGGTTCCTGGTTGCGATGCCGTGGTGGCAGCAGTGGAAAGAATACGTGAAATATGTAAGTTTCGCCCAAGGGCACAGCTCTTGTCGCATTGGGGAGTAGACCAACGGAGAAAAGGAGAGACAGAGCTGGCTGTCAATGTCCCTCTGTCTCCATTACGGACGAACAGCTGGTTTCTCCCCCCCCCCCCACCCCAAACCCAGCAGGGTGTTTTATTAGATCTGCAGTCTGGAGAGTGCAGCCTGACACGGATGCCGTGATGGCAAGGCTGGGAAACCCTTGGGTTTCTTCTCTTGAGATCATCTAGAGACCTTAATTGGACAGCTACTTCCACTGACCGCTGTATCTCGTTGAGTCTCCCACCAGGACTAGCGGCTTGGCTCCACAACCCCATGAAAGCTGAGGTTTCTTGGAGTTAGATCAATATGTTGGGCACATCCGGGGTGGTGGTGGTGGTGTAGCAGTTAAGAGTGCTGGGCTGAGTCTTGGGTTCTAGTCTCCTCCAAGCCAACTATCATTCCTACGAATCTTGGGCTCTTTAGAGACTCATCAATGCTGAGGGGTCAAACTGGAGTCAAAGCAGCATATAAATGCGCTGAATAAAGATAATCACAAAAGAAATGAAATATTGAAATAAACAAGCTGTGGATTTAAAAGGTTGATGCAGTTAGATCTCTTTTGAGAATTTTAGAAATGCTGAAACAATGCTGAAAGGGGGGAGATTTTGAAGAATTGAACAAGAGACCCACAGGCCCATGAAAGGAGTTTCTTGCAGTAGAGAGGCATTCCCTCGGGGTGTGTGTGTCCAGTCTTGCCCTCCTGTTTATTTCTGGTTCTCTTCTCTCTTTTTAAAGGATGCTAGCCCTGTTGTGATCGAGCCCTCATCCGTCTTACACGGAGGTAAGAGTCCACTCCTGGGTCCCGCTGCCTGTACGTCAGAGCAGGGAGAAGAGAGAGCAGAAAAGTGTTCAGATAACATTTCCAGCGCATCTGAAGCCTCAGAGACCACTAGCAGCAGTAAGCATGAAATGACGACACCCCCGCTGCTTACCCTCGTACGACAGGGCATATAGAAGGATAAAGAAAAAGGGCGGGCAGTTAAGAGTTTGCAAATGATAATCTGACATGGGGATAGCAGTGAAGGGACAGCGACGCAGGTGGCATGCAAAGAACTGTAGAGAGCCAGTGCAGTTGGGTAATTATATGGAAGAGCTGGGCGCTAGTCCTCATGAGGCTTTTTGCATTGCCTGAAGTCAGTCGTTCTGTCTCGGCCTGACCTACCTGACAGGGCCGTTGTGAAAATAAAGGAAGGAGGAAGGGAGCCACATTTACTGCCGTGAACTCATGAATGGAAAAGAGGGTGTAATATAAATGCAGATAATAAAGACAGGCTATTGTTGCAGTAATGGGTGGCGCTGGGAGAGTGTGGGGCCGGAAGGTGGGTCGGGCCAGGTAGTGCAAAGGGTGGGTTTCAAAAACAGATTTGAAGCAGAAGAATGAGGTTAGCTCTTAACATGCTCTGACGTACTCTTATCCTGTTGCTATTCTGTGTCACGTAGAGCCGGAGAAGATTTATGGAGATGAGGGGGGTGGAGTTATGCAAATGAAAAGTTGACTTAACTTGTCAGTAACCATTTGCAAGGGATGAGACAGACTCCACAGAAAGTGAATCTCTTCTGCCCCTCAGTGCCAGCCCTGGTTTCCCTGGAGCAGTTGGCAGAGTTAGCGTGACTAAATAAAGATACAAGGGACGAGACAGACTCCACAGAAAGCAAACCTCTTCTGCCCCTCATTGCCAGCCCTAGAGTTTCCCTGGGGCATTTGGCAGAGTTAGCGTGACTAAATAAAGATCAGGCCTCTATAGAGATGCTCCCAATGAGCATCCTTTTTTTCTGGCTGTTATAGTGTTTTCCTACTAGGAACACCATTCCTTCAAAGCTCTGCACCTGAGCCATCAGATGTGTAAATGAAGCCGGTGCTTAACAGCTGATGGCCAGTAACAAAATAAAAGCAACATGCAGAGCAAGGCGAGCTTGTTAGAAACAGATCTTTTTTTACTCTTACGGGAAAACCATTCTCAATGGCATGATGTATTCAGCTCAGGTTTGGATCGGAGACTGTACAAACCATGAGAAGCCATGACTAAAAAAAATGAAAAATGGCAGTCGTTTCTAGCTAGTATCTCATAGGAGCTTTTCTGGAAGCCAGGATGCTCAAAGAATTTGGAAATCAAAAAAATAGAACTGGATATTGGAAATGATTTGCCTGCCACCCATAAACTAGGGCACAACATTACTGATACCCTGGCTTTCGCTCTGTGAAATTAAAGCCCTCGTCTCCCCTCTGTCCGCTTCCAGATTTCCCTTACGCAACCACTCCCAGCACCGAAATGTCTTTCGCTCGGCAGCTGAACTCTTCCGATAACAACAATCAGTGTTTCCTAGGGTCTAACGGGAATATATTGCTGCAGCTCAATCCGCAGCGGCCGGGAGCCATCGATAACCAGCCGCTCGTGACGCAGGAGCCCGTGAAGGTAAGTGTGACGTCAGCCCATGGATACCCCGTGGGAAGGACTTCTGTGGTTGCGGAACCCAGTTTGCTTGTTTGAAAAAAAATTGTTTTTACGCCACGCTTCATCCCCACCTGGCCAGAGTGGAATAGAAATCTGGGCAGGGCATGTGCGATCCTTGCTGCCTTGTTTAGAGGCACCCGTGGCCCCATCCGTGGCATGCGGTTTGCCATGGCTGTCTTCCTGACCCTTCTGTTCCTTCAATCCGTGGCTTGCATAACTTTTTTGGCAGCTGTGGAGGGCTGAAACATCAGACGGTGACCCTCTTTGATCATCCCACCCCACCCCTTTTTGTGTTTGAAGGCTCCAACGTTGACTCTGGAAGGCGGACGACTGAAACAGTCCCCCCAGTTAATTCAAGGGAGGGATTATGAAATTGTCCCTGAACCAGTGTGGAGGGCTCTTTACCACTGGTACGGTGCAAACTTGTCCTTACCAAGACCGGTAAGTACTGAAAAGGGACATCCTTCGCCTGAGTGACTGCATGCCTGTAACTCTCCCCCGTTCTCATTTATTTTATTTCTGGGTCACATTTATTGTCCCACTTTTCTTCCACCGAGCTCAAGGTAGAGCCTACTTGGCTTCCCTCCTTTCTGCCCATTACCCTCAGTTGTTAAAAACAGTTCACCATGTTGATGTGTCTGCAGTCAAGTACCCCTGGTTCATCCTCATCCTTTTAGAACTGCATAGCTAGAAGGGACCCTATAGATCATCTTGTCCAGCCTCAGTCCAGGCGGCCCCGTGGGGGAATCGAACTCCCAACCATGGGCTTCCGGAGCCAGAGACCCCCTAAACCACTGAGCTATCCAGTAGATCAGGTCTGAGTTTAGAGAACCAAGGCATATCTAAAAATAAGTTATTTAATATTTATGTATTTATATTTTATTTTTATGCTGCCTTTTGGCCCAAAGGAGACCCAAGACAGCCCGCCACAGCTGAAACTATACAACAAATAACAGGTTTAAAAGCGCATATAGATGCCATATTAAAAACCCTTTAAGGTTATACCAAGATTAAAACTGAGATTAAAAACCATTTTAAAACCCTCCCACTGCAGCAGACAATGTTCAGCCCCTCTGCACAGGCAGATGTTTATGGCCAAACTTGTTCAGGGTTGGACGCTGTCGGTTCCTGAGCCGCAAAGCTCCCTTTTGGCACCAAGCTTCTCCCACACGTTCACCATGGAAACGAGTGTCTTTCTTGCCCTGAAAAGGGCCAGGCCTTTTTTTTTTTCCTGCGCCGGTCGCCCTCAACCTCTGCATCGTCAAGGAAAAAAACAGTGGGAATAGGAGGAAGAGCATGTGCAGAGTGCATACAAAGCCTCAACATGTCCATAAGCAGGTGTGGCTTAAGCTGATGTGGACAGCTTGGGCTCATGTTTTTTCAAGGACCACGTCTCCTCGGGTGTTAAGATCATGAGGAGAGGCCTGCCTCTTGATCTCGTCACCTTCACAGGCGCCTTTGGTGGGGACGCGGGAGAGGGCCTTCTCTGCTGCTGCTCTCAGTCTGTGGAACTCCCTCCCACTGGAGGCCAGGCTGCCCCCCCCCTTCTTGCTGTCCTTTTGCAAGCAGACAAAGACCTTTCTCTTCAGGCAGGCTTTCCTTTAAATGACCGGTTGGCCAAGGGGACCGACGGTTGTCTAGTTTCTCTCGAACGCCTCTAGCACCGGAGCGCTCACCATCTCCTGAGACAACTGACTCTGTTGTCGTACTGCTCTAACAGTTAAGACATTTTTTGCTGATAAGCAGCCTCAATCTGGCTTCCTGTTAGTTTGAGCCCATGATGACATGTCCTATGCTCTGGGATGATCAAGAACAGATCCTGCCCCTCCTCCGTAGGACTGCCTCTCAAGTCTTTAGGGATCTCCTATCTCCCTTCCGTCTTGGTTTCCAGCTCCCCGATCACCCCTGTTGCCTTCTTCTGAACCCGTCCTTCTTTCTTGGCATCCTTCTTAAGGAGAAAAGTTGGTCTCCAGGCTGGCCTGATCACCCCCGTTGCCTTCTTCTGAACCCGTCCCTCTTTCTTGGCATCCTTCTTAAGGAGAAAAGGAACTTCTCCCAAGTTCCGCTGGTCTCCTTTGGAGCCCTCCTGCGACACCCGTAACGGAGAATCTTCTCCTTGTTTCCACCCCCTGCCGCAGGTGATCCGGAATAAGGCGACCCGCCTGCCCGAACTGGAGCTGTTCCCCCGCTACCTGCTCTTCCTCCGCCAACAGCCGGCCGCCCGGACGCAGCAGTCGAACATCTGGGTCAACATGGGTATGATGAGCCTGAGGATGTTTCCTCACCATTTGCCGAGAGGTAACGTAAGAATACAGCAAGAATCTCACTGCTCCTCCCGCATCGGGTGCCAAGGAGGGCCGGCCTCACCACCCCGGGGGGGGGGGGTTCAACGGCTTGGCTGCCACCGTGCTTACCTATGATTCTCACGAGATCTTTTTTTTTTTTAATACGAAAGCAGGGTTGGTGATGGTTGGCCGCCTCCTTCCCCTTTCCAAAAAAATGATTTAAAAAGGAAAAAAAAAACTCTTATCAAAAGTCATTTCTTTTCCTTTTCAAGGAAAAAATAAAAGAGGAGCAGTAAATCATTTGAACCGTGCAGGCATAAATAAATCCCGTGTAGGCTGCCATCTGATTTAAAGACTTTTTAAGTCATCAGGGGTTCCGGGTCTTCATCAGCAGGGTGGTTCTCAGCTCGTGGCTTCCGAGAGGTGGGCCTCCGGTCCCCGGCAGCCTCCGCCGGCCTGGCCGATGGGAAGGAGATTTCGGAAAACTGAAACTCAGGGCCTCTGGAGGACATCCTGAGACCCAGCTGACATCTCCCTGCACAGCAACCCGTACTCATGAAATAAAAGCGAGAGTCAAGGAGGAAAGCCTCGTGCTGTTTTTTAAAAAAATCTGAGCCCGGGGTGTGTGTCCCTCTCTTTTGGAACTTCTTTGCTACTCTTCCTCAGCTTTCATGGTAGCTGGAGGATTCTGGGAGTTGAAGTCCTGGGAAACTGGCATTTCCCAGCAAAGCGCTCCTCCAGTTTGAGGGGCGGTTCTTTGGCAAAAGGAATCCCATCAGTGGAAGATCTGGCGTGTTTCGCCCAAGGCTTCAGCCAAGAAAAGCCTTTCTCGTCCACTGTGACCCTATTTGGGAAAGGGTGACATGTTTGCCCTCCAGTCGTTGTGGGGGCTACCGTTCTCCTCTGCCCTAGCCGGCAGAGCTGTGGATGATGGGCACTGTGATCCCATCCCATCCGGAGAACTGCTTGTTCCTCATCCTTTTTTCCAAACCGAGGTGTCAGGATCAGGTAACTTAACTGGATGTAGAACCATGTCCTTGGCCGCTCATCCCTAAAAATAATTAGACCCATTGAGTGGTTGGGATTGACATAGGTGTCAATTCACCATTTGTCGGGGTTTCCATCCATCCATCCATCCATCCATCCACCCATCCTTCCTTCCTTCCTTCCTTCCTTCCTTCCTTCCTTCCTTCCTTCCTTCCTTCCTCGCCCATCTGGCTCCAAGGCCACTCTGGGTGGCTCGCAACATGATAAATCAGCAAATAACATTTTAAATAAAATCACAACATAATAACAGTATCAAAATCCAATGAAACAAATCAATCAAATTTGACTCCGAAAAAGAGAAACTAAGAAAAATACCCACAGGAGTCCCGTGTAGATTTAGCACCCCATCCAGAAACGTCTGCAGAGGGAAGATAGTAGAACTGCGATCAGCCTCTGTTCTTCTCTGCTCCTGTGGTTCCCAGCCTTGGGTCACCCTGGTGTTCTTGGACTGCAGTTCCCAGAAGCCTTCACCACCAGCTGTGCTGGCCAGGATTTCTGGGAGTTGTAGTTCAGAAACATTTGGGTGACCGAACCACTGCTCTACTCTCATAATCCTTGACCCCAGATCCATGCTGAATTCCTATCATTACAAATTAATATTGCCTTCATAAGCCCAACAGTTGGGAGGAAAGCAAATCTCCAGAAAGTTCTTTTAAAAAAAAAAAACACTGAACAATTGCCCGAATCCCATGCACTGCTCTTCCTACTCGAAAACATAACTCTTCCAAGCACGGAAGGAAAATATAGATGAATTCTCAGCTTTTAATAAGAGTTTTGCTTCAATGCTCATTCTAAATCTTTGATTATTACTATTATTTGTAAGCCACTGCTTGGTCTGCCACCTCGTGAAAGGAATCAGGATCTGTTCTGAGCCTTCAAATCTTCTTGGTTCCAAGCTTGGTTTGCTTGATCCAGTTGTGGCAGAAAAAAAAATTTAACAAATCACCAGCTAATTGGCCTTCAAAAATCTCACTGGGCATCATCCTACAGCAAAAGTAGCTCTGCCTTGGACGTGCCCCAAGTCCTTCATTCTGATTTGTGGGCTTTCTCAAAACGCTGCCTTCAAGTCTTGATTTGGGATTTGTTCCGTGCTGCACTAACGGTTTACGAATCAGTTATTAATCTCAAATCTCCCCGCCCATCCGCCCCGCCCCCGAAACAGACGCTTTCTTGCTGTAATCTTAGTCCTAATCCTCTCGCTTTGTAAATTGCAGTAAAATTGCTTCGTTTGTGTGTTCGTTGAAGGGAAGGACAGCCCCTTTTTTTTGCTTGGTGTGTTAAGGTAAAGGGAGAGGCAGCCGGGTCCGCTGGAGGAGGGTGGGGGCAGGAGGGGGGAGCTGATGCTTTTGCCGACCTGCGAAGAAAGAGCCGTGTTCAGTTTGGGCCGCCTGTGTAGAGCTGCACGCGGGGGACGTCTTGGTGCCTGGCCCGGTTTTGCATCCGACGGGAGGTTTGGAATTCGCTGCCTTAAGGCACAAATGCGCTGGTCGAGTTCGCAACCCCCAATCCAAAATGTTCGATTCTCCTGGTTGGAGGACGGACACCCCACCGCCCCTCTCATCAGCCGGCAGCCCTCCGCGGCTCCCGAAACCTGCTCCCGTGGATTTTTCCAGCCACCCCAGAGCAGGGTTCTTAAGGCGGGGGTTCCCAAACCTGGGGTCCCCCGATGCCCTGGGACGGCAACTCCCAGAAATCCCGGCCAGCCCAAAGGCTTCTGGGAGTTTGAGCCCAGGAACACCTGGCGACCCAAGGTTGGGAGCCACTGTTTTAGGGTATGGGGAGGGGGTCTGTCAGGGGGAGGCAATACCACCCATTTGTGGGGAAACAGCGGGATCCACCAGAGGTACACAGCTGGATCCTGGCCATCGATTACTGCAAGTTACAGATGTGCATATAAAATAATTACAGTGACTGTCATGAAATGCCATATTTAGATGGGGAAGGAGGTCAGGAGACCTCTAGTTAGCTCACCCCCACTGCAAAGGCTTAGGGGCGTTCAGCTACAGAATTCAAGATGGTTTAAAGTTCAGACCCTTTACCATTGGAAGAACCGCGATACGAAATCTCTCATGCTGTTTAAATCTGTCATGGAACCTTTTCTCATGTTGCCCTTCTGAAGTCACGGGGTATCTGCGCCGCTGGGAGGGGAAGAATCAAACGAGGTTGGCTTTCTGCCTCCTCTTCCCGGTGTCGTGCCTTAGGACAGAGAGTCCAAACTCTGCCTCACCAAGGAGCGCTGGACTAGAACCCCGAGCAGCCTAGCTGGGAGTGGAGGATGGTGGGAGTTGTGGTCTAGCCCTATCTGGTGACTCACCATTTGGGATGCTGAGAACCTGTGCAGAGACGTTAGCGAGTCAGCGACCGGCTCAAAAAGCAGGGTTTGCCTTAGCTCTGAGAAAAGTGACATAGCGCTGTGCTGATAGAGCACATCCTTTTCTACCGCTGCCATTCATAGCCACGGCCTGTGTGTGTGTCTCCCTTCTGTAAACACAGGGAATGTCCCCTCGCCCAGCGCCCCCTTAAAGAGGGTCTTGGCCTACACCGGCTGCTTCAGTCGCATGCAGACCATCCAGGAGATCCATGAGTACCTGTCACAGAGGCTACGGATCAAAGAAGAGGACATGCGCTTGTGGCTGTACAACAGTGAGGTAAAGGCAGAGGTTCGAAGGCGTCCCTGGTTCAAAAAAATAAACACCAAACATTCAGGCCAACCCAGTGTGTGTAAGGCAAGGCGGTGAAGGTTGCCGGCCACCCTTCCTCCCCGTTTTGGCCTGCAACTCCCATCCCCCCTAGGCAGCATTACCAGCCGTGAAGGACGATGGTAGTTGAAGTCTGAAAGCATCTGGGAGGCAGCAGTGCTTACTTTGCCCAACCCCATGTGAGAGAGGGGTAAGATGGTGACGGACATGCGAAAGGGACAGCAGCGCAGAGGATTGCCTTAGCAGAGGCTTTTGTCACGAAACAGCCCCCGAGGCTTCTTTGCATGGACAGACAGCCAGACCTACCCCTCCAGGGCCCTAAAACGGAAACCCACCGCCACGGTTTCTCATTGCAGAACTACCTGACACTTCTGGATGACGAGGATCACACGCTGGAGTACCTGAACATCCAAGATGAGCAGCACTTAATAATAGAAGGTGGGTGGAACGGGAGGACCCAATCTTTGGGGGGGGGGAGTTTGCAGCAACATACCGTTTTAGCGGACCCAGGTATCCATCCTAGGGACAATCGGTCATTTGGGGAGGTACCTTGTTTTTGTGGGCCAGAGGACATGGCCGAAGGATGTCCAGAATCCTGTTGGGGTTTGGATAGCTCACTGTGCTGATGGATGAGGTGTAAGGCACCTCTTTGCTGTGCAGCCAAGGCATGCGACCAAGCTTGCAACTGGAGCCCTTTGTCAGTTAGTCGCAATTAGCCACGGCAAGGCCAACAAGCCGTACACAAGCACCAGTAGGGTTCTGGTGTCCACATCTCAGGATTTGGCAGGATGGAGCCGTACTAGTTTAGAGATGGGTCAAAATAGCTGGCTGGATAGCTCAGCGAGTTAGGTATCTACATGCGGAGCCGGAGGTTGGGAGTTCGATTCCCCCCGCTGGGCCTCCTGGGAGAAAAGCCAACCTGGGTAACCTTGGGCAAGCGGCGCAGTCCCAGGACACTCATAGAAGAAGGGAAATGTCAACCAGTTTGAGTACTCTCTAGCTAGATAACCCTGCAAAGGGTCATCATAAGTCAGAATTGACTTGGCGGCACACAATTAATTAGTACCAAACTATGTTCTCCCACTGTGCAGTGTGGATACCGTCCGTGGTATGAATCCTTTTCCGTCCTTTTGTTTTTGCCTCTCACTCAATGCTAGTCTACGTTCTGTTTAAAGGAGGACATAAGCGAACAGGGGTCGTTTCATCGGCAGAAGGTCTGATGGCACCTTAAGAAATACTTGAGGGGTGGGTTGCCCTGCAGGTATTTTTGGGCTTGCCACTCGCCAGACGCTTGCCTTGAGGGCTAAACCCCACTACGCGTTGATGGCGTTATCTTCCTTTAACAGAGAGCTAGGCCAGAAAGTTGCAGGAGTGGAAAGGAAGAGATGCCGGAAGGCTTAGAAATTCAAGACAAGGGTGTGACTTTATTCTGTCATTCGAAAATGGGAGGCTTCAGCCCGAAGCAAGCCTCCGGATTCCTTTGCTAATGTGGGATTTGGTTGCAAATTTGATGTTGTCAAACCTGGACTTGATAGAGATCAGGGGTGGTTGCCTCCCAGGAGAACTCAAGGAGTTCGTTTGTGGGCTCTCCTGTGAAAGCTGGGGTTTTTTTTTTGCTTTTAAGTGGCCCACCCTCCCCTCTCTCTTACAATTCCTGGGTACTTCTGCCCCTCCTTGTTAAAAATTGCTCAGCCCACCCACCCCTGCTTTTCTTGATTTCTGCATTTGAAAGAAGGGAGTCTCTTTGCCCCACGCCTTGGTAGTCTTCTACAAGGGCTCTCACTTTGCTGTGCTGTCTTCCGAAGAGTCCTGTCTCCCTTGCAGGAGAAAGGAGGAAAGGCAGTGGTTCTTTTCCTTAAAAAGAGAAGCGGTACTTACTGGGTCCATGAGAATTCAGGTAGATGCTCCTTCGAGGAGCTGGGATCCCTCTGTTTTTAAAACCCTTTTATTTCCTGGTCAGGCTTTGGGAGGCCGTGTCGAAGCAGCTGAGTGGAGAATGGGTCCTGCCAGAATGGGCAGAGTACGGCTGTCCCGGTGTGCTTCCCTGTGGGCAAGGGACGATGGGGAGTTGTAGTCCAATTCAATCCAGAGGGCTATACTTTGCCTGTCCCTGATGTGGAGCTAGGACAACATTTCTCAGTATCCCCAAAACGCCATCAAGGGGATTCTGGGATCTGTGGATGGAAAAAGACAGCCACGTTTCCTGTCTCCAGGAATAGGAAAGGGTTGAGGGGTGTCTGTGTCCTGGCAGATGCTCCTGGACTGGAACTCCCATCTGCCTTAGCCAGGAGTCGGGGATGATAGGGGTTGCATTCCGTCATCTGTCTCCTTCTGCCTCAACGTGGTGGCAGCACTCGCTCCTTTGCTTGGGCAGTTAAAATCTTGATTCTTGCAAGAACTTCCTATGTTGTTTATTCTTTTAGTTGGATAGTAATTACCTTCCTATTCTTCCTTGATCTTCCCACGAGTTCGGGCTGACATGAATAGCCATTTCCCTTTTTTTTTCCTCACTGTGCGGAGGCAAACGAAGACATCTGCTTCTTTTGTAAACGGGGATCCTTCTATATATTTAAGTTTCTCCCCACGCCTGTCGGTATCTGCATATTTCATGATCTGCTCAGTTTTAAATCGAGAGAGTCATTGACGACTAAACTCGGCTGTGTTTGTGTGTGGGGGGGTTGTTTTTGCAGTTCGTAACAAAGACATGAGCTGGCCGGAGGAGATGTCTTTCATCGCAAACAGCAGTAAAATAGACCGGCACAAGGGTAAGTGAAGATCCAGCCCATGCTGAACCCGTCGGGGAAGGGGTTGGTTTTGAAATACAGGCACTCATCCTAAGTTGTCACCACGAGAAGGTCCAAAATCTGTTCTTTCCTGAGCCCTGGGAAAACCACTTCTCTCTCAAAGTCAATAAATCCATTTTACTACCGTTTCCTCTCCTAATGGACAGTGTCACTGCCCGACTCCTGCTCTAATCCCCGTGTTGCATCTGAATCATCCTCCTAGATTTTTCACCCAAGGACCAGTTCTGCCCCTTTTCGTCTCCCCTGTGAGCAGGTCTTTTGTAAAGCTTATGGGTCTTGATTACCCCAGTTGCTTCCCACTGGAGCAAAGGCGCCATTGGTAACCCCTGGGAAAATCCGTGAGAATTTCAGCTAAGCTCCAAAGGGACGTCAGCCAGGCTTAAGCCGAGGGTGACTTGACGGGACCTAAAAACAACAGCATGTATGTCCATGGCGTAGGCAGACATCCATCCATGAACCTAAAACCTCTTTCCCTCTTTGCAGTTCCTACCGAAAAGGGGGCCACCGGCCTGAGTAATCTGGGCAACACCTGCTTCATGAATTCTAGCATCCAGTGTGTCAGTAACACCCAGCCCCTCACCGAGTATTTCATTTCAGGCAGGCACTTGTACGAGCTCAACAGGTAACGTTCGCGTTTTGGAACCATGAGGACTAGAAACGCTCCCATTAGCTCACAGGAGTGCATGGGGAACCGCCCTAGGCATCCGGGATTTTGACCCTTGCTCTTTTCTGAATGGCCATGTAAATCCTGGGCTCAGATGGTCCTTGAGCTACGGCTAGCCTGTGGCTTGAAGTAGGAGGGAGCACCTCCCTCTCTCCCATTTTAAATGGGGATGCTCTGAACATGTGGTCCTGGGTGCAGCTTCGGGACCCTGGCACTGCCTTCAGCGGAAGGTGGAAGGCAAGGCTTCTTTACACCTCTTCCCTGTTTGAAAAGCAGGCGCAAACAGGTAACCAAGGGGTTTGATGGATCCCGTCTTTAAATTCCAGGACTAATCCCATCGGGATGAAAGGGCACATGGCCAAATGCTACGGGGATTTGATTCAAGAGCTGTGGAGCGGGACTCAGAAGAACGTCGCACCTTTAAAGCTGCGGGTAAGGAGGAGCAGCCGGTCTTATTTGGAGGTTTAATAAACTGTGTGGTTTTCTTCTTTCTGAGATAGAACTTTGGGACATTTCAGAAATCCAGATGTGTAATGCATGTCTTAGAGGAAGGTGATGTTCTAGGGCAGTGCTTTCCAACTGTGGGTCCCCAGATATTCTTGGACTGCAACTCCCAGAAGCCTTCCCCACCAGCTGTGCTGGCCGGGATTTCTGGGCATTGTAGTCCAAAAACATCTGGAGAAGCATTGGACCTAAGGGATACTCCTTCCTAGACGGTTCCACTTCAGGCTAAGTCAAGAGTACTACAGATGTGCCGCCCTTGAGTTGGAGTGAGGAAAAGGCAGGGGATGTGTTAAAGATTAGCACTCAGGAGAGGGCACGGGGTGGTGTCTCGTGGGTCAAGTGATAAGAGTAAAGCCTAGGACAGACTAGGACTCAAGAGACGTGGGTTTGAATCCCCACTTGGCCTTTGGGGCGGGTATAAAAGCTTGGAAACCCTTCTACCGCCATCAAAACTTGGATGCAACTTGATGACACATTAACTAATTAGAAGAAACTGGACTGTAGGGCGGGTTAGACAGCCTCCGTTGATATAATGGGGGGGGAACGCCTAGGCCCTCTTGCTCCCCCGGGTGGAGGACGTAGAGGCACTTTTATGATCTGTTTGTTTATTTAAAATATTTATACGCCGTCTTTCTTAAGAAGGACCCAAGGCCAGTTTACAGGATTAAAAGAAACAAAGCTGAAATAATATATTATTGCAATATATACTGTATACAACAAGAACTCGACAAATATACTGCTAAGGCTAATAGATAAAAACCGGAACAAGAACACTTTTGAACTAACAAGAACAAGAAAAATAACAGCAGTCCTATCTAAAAAAAAACAAACACACACACACACATTCCCACCAGTCTCCAAGCTCTTTTAGATCCAGAGGGGTCTTTTTGAGAAAACGGAAGTGACTTGCTTGAGGATGGGAGGCCGTTGGCTTGGGTGGTGGTGTGCGTTTTCAAAAACCGGAGACCTCCGCCGGCGGCTTTATTCTGATGTGTCAGCCTTTTGTGGCTTTCCGCGTGGATTTTGCGCCCAAGCGGGCGGTCACCGGAAGAAGCACCTCTCTTCGCCCTCTGATGTTCAAGCTCATCGGTGCTCCAACCGACTCGGGAAAGGGCTCTGCCATGCTGTGGGGGGTCTTGACATGAGCCGACCCCCACCCTGGTGCGTCATCCCCCGGGGGCTCCTGGTTGGATTGCCCCTGAGAGGAGCCCCTTGAGCCGATGAATGAACGGACGCGTCTACTTCCTTAACAGTGGACGATCGCGAAGTACGCCCCCAGGTTCAACGGCTTCCAGCAGCAGGATTCCCAAGAACTCTTGGCGTTTCTTCTGGACGGCCTCCACGAAGATTTGAACCGAGTCCACGATAAACCCTACGTGGAGCTGAAAGACAGTGACGGCCGGCCAGACTGGGAGGTGGCGGCGGAGGTGAGCGGGCTGGGCCGGAGGGCACAGGTTTTTCCGGTTTTCCAAGCTTCCTTTCCTGACCCACCCCACCCCTAGGGAAACTGCTCCCCATTCTTTCAACCGAATCCTTCCTTGAAGCAGCCCTTTCCCCCCAAACAAGCCCCACCTCTGGATCGGTTGAACCAGGGGTCCCATCGTCCACACAGCAAGGACAGGGGACTTGTTTGGCGAGGTTGATGGGAGTTGTAGTCCAGTGCCTGCAGAGAGGAGGCCCTGGGTTCAAGAAAGTGGCCTTAAATGGTGAAGGAAGGTTTGTGGTGCTGAGTCTGCTGTAGTTTGTCTGAGTCTCCTGCAAGCATGTGACTCAGGGGCATAAAAAAATCAATTGTGTGTTGTCGTGTTAATTTCTAGGCCTAGAAAATCGGCACATTGTTTTTTATTGATATTACTGTTTTAAAAAAATCAATTGTGCGTTGTGTTAATTTCTAGGCCTAGAAAATTGGCACATTGTTTTTTATTGATATTACTGTTGTTACTCACTGCTTACCATGGTGTGATCCCTTCTCCAACAATTTGACGTGAAATAACCCATATATACAAGTCAGCCACTGGGGTTGAGAACTGCGCTGTAGCCGGCCAAATCCGGGAGCACCTAAATGTCATCCTTACCGTCTTCTTTTCCTCCTCCTCCTCCTTCTCTTGCTCCATTTATTTCAGGCCTCGCAAAATCATCTGAGAAGAAACCGCTCCATTGTGGTGGACTTATTCCATGGGCAGCTGAGGTCTCAAGTCAAATGCAAGACCTGTGGCCATATCAGCGTGCGCTTTGACCCTTTTAATTTTTTATCTCTGCCCCTCCCGATGGACAGCTACATGCATATAGAAATTATAGGTGAGTAATAAGATTCCGGTTCTAGTTGGAAGCTTTACCTTTTAGCTGCCTCCAAATGTCACAAAGTATTCCTACAAACATTTTCCTTTTCCCTCCCCGTCGCCTTTTCCTTTTGTGTTGCGTCTTTTTAACTGGGCAAATTACAACACACAACCCCCACCGCAAACCATTCCTTTTCTGTATGTGTAATACACAAATATACATAGTTAGGTTTCACATATAAATTAGGCATATAGTTGGAAAATGTGATGAATATCAATGAACTGAAATGTATAACACTTTTTAAAAATAGAAATATTAGCTAGGCCTTTGTCTGCTGCATAACTGGAAAACGTTACTGTTAGGACAGCTTCCAGAATGTTGAGCCAGCGTGCTAGTGGGTGGGGATTTTGGGTGTTATAGTCATTTTTCTGAGCTTTGATGTGCTTACCTCTGAAGAACTCATCTCATAACCTTTGAAAGGAAGGCCCTACAGGTTTCTTTCAATACAATTCCTCTCTCCTGTAGAAGAAATCCGAAGTCAGAAAGAACAGACTTCAAACAGACAAAAATGCTTGACCTTGACAGGACGAAGGGTAGAAAAACTTGGCTGCGTGTGATTTTTGTTTTTTGAAAAGATTTTTTTTGATGGGTTGGAAGGCTTCTGCTCCCCTTTGAAAGTGATTATTTAGAATTCACCGCAGCTTAAATAAGTGAGGGACACGCCACGTGGTGGTTTGGCAGAAAGAACGAACCGGAATGGAATCAGGTTTTTAGAAGCTCTCTCATCTCTCTTCTCCTGCTCTTTAAGTTACTAAGTTGGATGGGAGTACCCCGGTCCGATACGGCTTGAGGCTGAATATGGACGAGAAATACACAGGCTTGAAAAAACATCTCAGCGAACTCTGTGGGCTAAAACCGGAGCAGATTCTGCTGGCGGAAGTACACAGCTCCAACATAAAGGTACGAGCTGCTTCACCCATCGCCGTTGTTTTCAACTCACGGTGTTCAGAACGACGGGCTTGGTCTAAGAAGGGCGGCTCGCGCTTCAGAGTGCCGCGCGCTCCCAGCAAATGCTGCGGGGCCGGACTCTTACCCTTGAAAGGAGGGGGTGTTGAATTCTTTGGTAGGGCCAGGTTGATGGGTGGCTAATGAGGAGGTATTGAGGAAATATTAGTCTAAACGGTTGGCAGCCCCTTAGGGTGCTTCCCGAGGTGTTGGAAATCTGTCAAAAAATGCGCAGAACCGCTGTCATCGGTGTGTGGGGGGGGTGGCGGCGTAGGATGGGAAGTGATGCGAGGCGTGCTGAACACTTCTCCGAATTGTCGTCGCCGTTACTGATCACTGATTATTAACTGGTAATTAAGGGTGATTGCAGATCCTAAGAGATCCACAACAAATGTTTTGTGGGGGAGGAAAGGACAGGCTTTAACAGCGTGGTCCGTTTACAGAGATCCAAAATGTTCATTCATTCCTCTTCTGTCTCTCTTTCTTTGCTTTCGAAAGAACTTTCCTCAGGACAACCAGAAGGTTCGGCACTCTACAAGTGCCTCCTTGTGCGCGTTCGAGATCCCCATTCCTGGGTCTCCCACGTCGGCCTCTTCAAGTCCTGTGCAAACAGGTAGGGTAAAACTCTTTTGGTCTTTTGGTTGTCTCCAGCCGGATAGTCTACCTGATGTACTAGTAGATTTCAAGGTCATTGTCACCATCATTAGGCGTCAAGTCAATTCTAACTCAGGACAACCCTTTTCAGGGAGTTTTCCAGGTAGAGGATCTTCAGAAGTGGTTTCCCATTCTCTTGTTCTCTGGGACTGCGCAGCTTGCCCAAGGCTACCCAGGCTGGCTCTACTCACAGGAGAGTCAAAACGGTGGAGAATCGAACTCCCAACTTCTGGCTCTGCGGCCAGATCCCTAAACCACCGAGTTATCCAGCTGGCTAGATTTTGGCCTACTCCCTGGGTAGCCTTCTGTCGTCACTTTCTCTCCACCTGCCCTGCCAGCAGAGAATAAAACGTAAAGCGTGAGTGTTGCATACTCTGCTTTAAGCTTACTGGAAGAAAAGTGCTGTATTAACATAATAGATTACACACCAGGAAAAGGATGGGCGAGAAGAGTGGGTTCCCATATTAGGTTCCCCCCCCCATGTAACACATTCACATGATGCACAGTTCTAGTGGATTCTGGGAGAGAAGGAATTGAATCTCTCGTGGCTTCTCTGTGTGTTTCGTGAGCATCACCAGCATCTGAAAAAACGGGTGTCAGAACGACTAATTCCGTCCTTGTCCTTGGTTCTTAAAGACCTCAGCAATGGGCCATCGGCCAACGGGATGGTCAGCGTGCTGATGAACGGCGATCTTCCCCGCTCCACCCTGATCCCGAACGGGATGCCGAACACGGTGGTGCCGTGCAGACCGGAAAACGGCTTTCCTGGCTCCTTCGCGAACGGCCACGTCACCTCGCCGTCTTCCGACAGCCCCTTCACCGGTTACATCATTGCGGTCCACCGGAAAATGGTTCGTAGAGACTTACAGACTGCCATCAAGCTGTAAACGGATGTATAGAGGCAGGGGGCGCTTTTTTTTTTGAAAAGGGTAGATCGTGTTACGAGCTTGTTTTTTTTGGCTACAGGAGGTCTCAGAGATTCGGATTTATATCCGAGTGTCAGGGTTGGTTCTGGGGTTTGTCTTTAAATTTGAAAACTGAGTTGCTAGATCTCATGACAACAGAAGTGTGTTTCAGAGAGCAGGAAGACGTTTTATGCCAGTTCTAGCTCCTAGTCTCACTCAGTAATCATCCTCTCTCTCTCTCCCTCTGGCATTGTCTCTCCTTGGGGCCATGGAAGGCCTCTCTCAGTTCTGCCAGGCTCTGAATCTGGCTCATTTCAGGTTGGACAAGCTGGGGGCCTCTGTAAATGGCTGGACTACAACTCCCAGCATTCCTTGCCCTCAGCTGTGCTTGCCGATAACTTTTGGTGGACGGGTAACACTTAAGTTGCTTAAATAAGTAAAGCCATGCACACCTCCTTCCCAGTCTTTCAAAGGTAAATGACATTTTGTGATTATGGTTTTTTTCCCCCTCCCCCCCAAACCGAATTTAGATGCGGACGGAAATGTATTTCCTTTCGTCTCAAAAGAATCGGCCGAGCCTCTTCGGCATGCCTCTGATTGTCCCGTGCACGGTTCGCACGCGGAAAAAAGACTTGTACGACGCGGTGTGGATCCAGGTCTCCCGCCTTGCGAGTCCTCTCCCTCCTCAGGAAGCCAGTAACCACGCTCAGGACTGGTGAGTTCAGGGTTGCGGGGGGGAGGGTGCTCAGCACAGCGGGAGTGGGCGGAATGGCGGCCGGATACTGGCAGGGCAAGTTCTGTAGGTATCTTAAGGAAGCGAGCCAAGCTGCATGTTAGGAGAGAAAAGAGTCTGTTTGATATGGTAAAGCAGGGGTGGCCCCCTGGAACCCACCCCCAACCCCCCCACACACACACACACGTGCATATTTTAAAAGGAAAAGTTACTGTGTGCCCTCTAATGTATGTATGTATGTGTTGGGTTTTTGATTTTTTGTTTTTGTTTGTTTTGAAAAAAGAATGGCCACTAGAGGGGGCAAGGCGCCTTTTTTAAGTTAAAAAAGACCCGTTTTTATAGGACTGCTGTGTTGCTGATCCTCTCTCTCTCTCTTGGAGGTGGGTGATATTCTGTTGAACAACACACACACCCTTGCTTCTCAAGGGGCCGCCTTGTCAACACCCCCCACCCCCTCATTTCTTCCTCCCCAGTAACCCGTCTGATCACTCTGAATGAATCGGGCTCCCGTAAAAAGAGTTTTTGAGAATTGAAACCCACCCACCGACCCCCTTGCAAGGAAGATAAACGAGCACCTCTAGGCATCGTTGGCGACGTCACCCCTTGACAATAATTGTCAGGCACTCCTTGTGTCTGTCTGTTCTTTTTTTTCCAAGCGATGACAGCATGGGCTACCAGTACCCCTTCACCCTGCGGGTCGTTCAGAAGGACGGCAACTCTTGCGCGTGGTGCCCGTGGTATAGGTAAGGCACAGTCCCTGGAGCTGAGAAAATGGGGAGGGCAGGAGAGGGGGGGCAGCAGCCGAAGGCCCCCCCAAACGGGAGCTGTGTGCTTCTGTTGAGCTCGGGCTGCGTTTCCTCAGCCAAGGGACATCTCCGCTCGCTGCCATCATCCCCTCTGCCCCCTTCTCGTCTTGGGTCCCTGCATCTCCCCCTGAGGGGCTTCTGGTTTGATGGCCAGCCTCTAAATCGAGTCCATAAATAAAAACAAAAAGAACAGACAGCTCTGTAAAGAGCCGGCTTGACTTTTCTTAGATGGCCCCCCTCTCGTTATTCTGCACCAACGGACGTGAGAACATTTTGTTGCTGCATCTGGACGGGACAGCTGCCCCACCCGCCCCCTTTTCTTTTTACCACCTCCTCCCTCCATCTTTCCCGTCTAGGTTTTGCCACGGCTGCAAAATCGACTGCACGGAAGAGAGGGCGGCGTCCGAATGGGACAGCTGCCCCACCCACCCCCTTTTGTTTTTGCCACCTCCTCCCTCCGTCGTTCCCGTCTAGGTTTTGCCACGGATGCAAAATCGACTGCACGGAAGAGAGGGCGCACATGGGCAACGCTAACCTGGCCGTCGACTGGGACCCCACGGCGCTTCACCTCCGCTACCAGACGTCACAGGAACGGGTAAGGCATTTCCCCAGAGGGTGATGAGCATAGAGGAAGCGGGATGGGGAGGGTAAAGGAAGAAAAAAACACACACACTCCAACAATAAAGGTACATGTCTGTTGCTTTTTATCTTCACCCTCCTTCGGAACACAGATCCGTGTTTTATAGCGAATCGGGCCGCTAGCCAATGCAGCATTGTCAAGGTCTGTAAGGTAGCTCCCGTAGTCATGGAGGAGATTTTGCCTAAACCTTAGGCAGATCTTCTTGACAGGAAGAGCTTTCTGATTATAGGACAAGCTACTCCAGAGGATGATGGAGTATCTGCTACATTCATCCTAAAAGGGTCCAAGGCAGCTTACGGTATTAAAAGAAACAAAGTAAAATGCTAAATAATAAGTTATTACAATATTTGGAAGGCATCAAACAGATATATTAAAACTCATAATGTGAGAGCAATATCAAAAACACAATTAAACAACAGAATAAAATAATCTCTTTTTTAAAGAAATCCCCTTGGTCAACCGGTCATGTAAAGGAAAACCTGCCTGAAGAGAAAGGTCTTGGCCTGCTTGCGGAAGGGCAGCCAAGATGGGGCCTGCCAGGCCTCCAGTGGGAGGGAGTTCCACAGACTGGGAGCAGCGACAGAGAAGGCCCTCTTCTGTGTCCCTGATGGACCCGCTTTTCCAACTCTACACTGTTCCTTTTTGGCTGTGTTTTCTCACATCTTTCTGTCACACCGCTGGTCTTTTACGATCTCCGCCCAGACCGGGAGCTTTTTCTTTGGCTTGACGGGGCTGGCCTTCTGCCGGCATCTTGGCCGTGAGCCGCCCGTGTCGTCTGGGCTTCGGTGGCTTTTGTCGGCTGTCGTGGTGGACCCGCTTTTCCAACTCTACACTGTTCCTTTTTGGCTGTGTTTTCTCACATCTTTCTGTCACACCGCTGGTCTTTTACGATCTCCGCCCAGACCGGGAGCTTTTTCTTTGGCTTGACGGGGCTGGCCTTCTGCCGGCATCTTGGCCGTGAGCCGCCCGTGTCGTCTGGGCTTCGGTGGCTTTTGTCGGCTGTCGCGTTGAGTCAGGCTGCTCAAGCTGTCTCTGCGAAACGCTTTGGGACAGCTTCTGACAGTCCCTTCGGAGCGCCTCAGGGCTCCTTCTGAGATCTCGGCAAGCGAGAGAGGAGGAGACCCGAGACGGCCGAATCCCCCAAGAATGAAGATGGCCATGGGGCTGTCCAAATACAGAACCACAGCTCCCATCATTCTCTGCCAGCGGCTGCGCTGACGACGGGCTGGATGGGAGCCGTCATTCGGGAGGGTCTCGCTGTTCCCAGCCCAGTTCTAAAGGCTTTTCGGTCTGTTCAAGCTCGGCGGTTCCCTTCTCCTTATGTTTCTGCGTGCCTCCAAGCCAGAACCGACTCACAGCGACCCAAATGGGGCTTTCAAGGGAAGTGAGGTATTTAAGGAACGGCTTTGCCAGTTCCACACACATCCCATGAGTTTCTCTGGCTGGCGGGGATTCGAACGCAGGACTATAAGGGTCCTAGTCTGTGACTCTGTCCACTACACCCAAGGGTCCTAGTCTGTGATTCTGTCCACTGCACCACACTGGGTTCTCTGTTCCCTCCTTAGATCTTAGGAAAAAGAAACTTGCAGATCATGAGCCCGGACCTTTGTAAAATGAGAGAGTCCAGTGGGTGATCACGTTGTCCTCGGTCAAAAAAAATATCTGCAGGGGGGAAAATCATTTTTTACTCCAGGGAATTTTGAAGAGTTAAAAAGGCTTTGCAGTTAAAAAGGTGTGCCCGGTACACCAGCTCTCACCCCCAAAAATCTCCCAAACCCACCAAAAAATCCAAGCTGTATTTTCTCAAACTTTTCACACCTGTTAAGAATCCAGGCTAGCATCCTTAATCCAGCTTCAAGCAATGTCGGAGGGCCCAGACGCCCAAGGGCGAGCGGGGGGGGGAGGACTTCCAGTGACTCCTCTCTTGTATTTTCTCAAACTTTTCACACCTGTTGTGGGGTTTTATTTATTTATTTAATTTGGTTTTTGGCCTGCACACCTAGCCCGCTGGGCCCCCCCTTGCTCTGGTCAGCTTACAGTGAAAGCAATCCGCCCCACGAAGCAAAATTCCATAAGAAACGACAACCAAGAAGAACATGAAACAAGGGGGGAAAAAACCCAACTTAAAAACTCAACCTATAAAAAAGATCCACAACCACGACGGAGCAATCGCCAGCCATAAGAATGGGATCGTCCCTTGGGGGTGGCCCCTGATCTACCCTGGAGGGGGGACGGGGACCCCCGAGACACCCCCCCCAAAAAATTGCCCACCTTGGCAGAAGAAAAGTGTAAAGTTGTGATGTCCCTCTCTTCTTTTGTGTCTCCTCCCTCCCGCCCCTGCCCCCCCCCCCGCAGATAGCGGAAGAGCACAAGAGCGTGGAGCAAAGCCGGCGGGCTCAGGCAGAGCCCATCAACCTGGACAGCTGCCTGCGGGCCTTCACCGGCGAGGAGGAGCTCGGGGAGGACGAGATGTACTACTGCTCCAAATGCAAGGCTCACTGCCTGGCCACCAAGAAACTGGACCTGTGGAGGCTTCCCCCTATCCTGGTACGAGTGCGAATTCCGCTGAGCCTTCTCTGGAGAAGAGGAGGAAGGAATTGTAATTTTGGGAGACTTCTCAAGACAGGGTTCTCCTTTCCATCAAAGCGATGCCGGCTGAGGATGATGGGGATTGTAGTCTAAACACACTGCTAGAGCGCTGGCTTGAGGGAGGGAGATTGCGAGGCCTGTTTTGATCAAGCCTTCTCTGGAGAAGAGGAGGAAGGAATTGTAATTTTGGGAGACTTCTCAAGACAGGGTTCTCCTTTCCATCAAAGCGATGCCGGCTGAGGATGATGGGGATTGTAGTCTAAACACACTGCTAGAGCGCTGGCTTGAGGGAGGGAGATTGCGAGGCCTGTTTTGATCACCGGGAGCCCCTCTGGGTTTTTAGACAGAGAAGGGTGTTCCTCATCACACAGCCCCATCGGACCGGCAACTTTCTGATGGTGGAGCGATGCTCCTTGTGTAGCAGATCATCTGGTTTTCCCCTGAGAGTCCTCCCATCCCGTTATTCTCCAGAATAGACCGGTTCTCACATCAGAAAAGATCAGTCACGTTCAGGGCGCTGCTATGAGAGAAGTTCTCCTGCACCCTGGCCTGCATAGCCCGTGGATGATGGGAGTTGTAATCCACTCCATGGGGAGCAAACGCTTCCTTGCCCTGACTCGAGAGAAAGCATTCACCCCGTTGTCTCTCCTCCTCATTTCTCCACCCCCAGATCATCCACTTGAAACGCTTCCAGTTCGTCAACGGGCGCTGGATAAAATCCCAGAAAATTGTCAAGTTTCCCCGAGAGAATTTTGACCCGAGTGCCTTCCTCATGCCGCGAGATCCGAACTGCTGGCCCCAGAAGTCTGTGGCCCTCCAAGTGGACGACCTTTCTGAGCCACAGGGCTTCCTGGAGGAGTGCCGGAGGACAGAGGCACCGAACCCTGCGATGGCTGGGGAGGGGGACGCCCTGGTCCGAAGCCCCTCCTCGCTCAATGCTTCGAGCCTTCTGAATAATAGCAAAGGTAGGAGGGAGGCCAAGGTTTTTGTGCCGAAAGCAGAGGGAGGGTTCACATGGGGAAGCTCGCTCTGTCTAGCTCTGCTGCAAAAGGCGCAGGATTCAGCCACACCAGCGCTTCTTGGTAGTGGTATTGGCAGAGGGAGGGTCACACTGAATGAGACATTTTGCATTCCTTCTGGAAGAGGGACTCCTTCAAGTGGTGAAAGAGATCCATTTCTCATAATACACTAGGACCCCCTTATCCACAGGATCTGTATCCACGGATTCACTTAGCCACTGCCTGAAAATATTAACTATGTCGTTCCCTTGTGTATTTACCAGAACTGGCCACTGGGGGGAGCCAGAGACCATGCTTTGTATAGGGTTTGCTATTTCCGCCGTTTTTTGCATCCGTTAGAGGAGGGGTTCCCATCCTTGGGTAACCCAAGCGTTGCTGGACTGCAGTTCCCAGAAGCCTTCACCAGCAGCTGTGCAGGCTGGGCTTTTGTGGGAGTTGCAGTCCAAGAACACCTGGTTTTCTCAAGGTTGGGAACCACTGTGTTAAGAGGGCTGGAACTGACTTCCCGCAGACACTGCAGTCATCCTGTGATTTTTCTTCACCTGTGTGTCTTGCATTTAGCGTCCTTTGCTCTCTGATTGGTTGCTGAAGTGTAAACACAGGCCCAATTTGAAAGCGGGATGGCAAATGAGGACCTGTCTCTTGGACGACACTCTGTCTTCAGAGGCTCACAGGAGAGAATACGCGCTGTGTGATAGTGAATAGGTGCAGGCACTCATCACGACAGTCCTTGTAGCCTGCCGAGAACTCAGAAACACCTGTCCATCCCCATACATCACTTCCAGCCTTTTCTCTCTCTCTCTCTCTCTCTCTCTCTCTCTCTCTCTGTGTCGGGTCTTTTGTAAAGCAAACGGGTCTTCATTCCCATCCAAGATCCATCTTGAAATACATCGCATGACAACAGGAACAGCTGTTGCAGCAATTATCCACGTTCCTTGTAGCCGCCGTCGGGAGTTGCTTTGAAGAAACGGGAGACCTTGGTGGGAATGGGCGATCCGTTTAGCCCCTTTGCTCATCAGAAAACCTTGTGCTTCAGCCTATGTGCCGTGGCTTCCCTCCCCTTCACCGCAGCTGGGCTGTCTTTTTTTGGGGGGCTGCCTGTTGTATCTCTGCATGATTCCTTGTGCTGTGCCTCGCTCCCTCCTTTTCCTCCCGCTCTGCCCAGGGGTGAGTCACGCTGCATTTTTCTCTGCCAGGCATGATTAAATCTTTTCTGGAGTTCTTGAAGCAGACGCTCAACAAGAGCCACTGACTCTCAGGGGAGTCCTCGGGCAATGCGCGCATTAGATATTGCTCCAGGCCGAAAGTAACAGTTCTGACGTGTGTGCCTTTTAAGGGGCATCTTGAGGGCCACTTGATAAATGCACAGGAAAAAGGTCGCTGTAAGAGGATGTAAGGCTCCCGTTCCCCTTTCTCCCAGTCTATTTTTGCTGCTCCCTGAGGATCCCAGGCTCCCAGCTATCTCGGAAGCAGGAGTGGCGACTTACCTTTCAAAGGAATGGCAGTGTCTTCCTGGATCAATTTTTAAATGACTCTTTTTGAAACCTGGATCTGGCTTTCTGGACACCTCTTGGTTGGTTCAGGCTGGAGGGGGCGGTTGTCCATTTTGTACGCCTTAAGCGCAACTCCTCCCGAGGATGGGAAATCAGTCCTCCTGCCATCGGTGACTCACTCCCCTTACATAAAAACAGAGTTATAGGAATTTAATAGGTAGAGCATTCTGTGACTCAGAAACAATCCACAAATATGAAGGATTGTGTGTTTGTGTGTGGGGTGGTGGTGGCCCTTAACTGTGAAGAAAGCCCTCCTTGTTTCAAATACTTTTGGTGCTATGGTAGGTTTTTACCTAGTTTTAAAGGCATTTTTGGATATACTTTTCAGTATACCTATGTATATGGCTATCTTGCGTATTTTATGACCGTTCTTATCAAAGAAGCTCTACGGTTCAGGTTTACGATAAAACATCGGCCATTTCTTTGAGATTCTCTAAAAGTGTGTCTTTCCATACCATGAATCCCCATGAATATGAATTAACATTTTTAAAACAGCACTTAAAAATAATAAAACTGGAAACTTTTGGTTTGGTCTTATCCACATACAGGCTGTTCTCTGACTTGCCTGTCTGTCTTTTACGGTTCTCACTCTCGCTTTCCGATTCCAGCGTCTCCGTCGTCCGGGCGGAGGTTCGCCTCCGGCGGCCCGCCTAACAAAAGCATTAATTCATCTGGAAGCCCGAGGACTTTGGGCCGAAGTGTGGGGCGGCTCCGGCTGCCTCAGCTGAGTAAAAACAAACTTTCCAGCAGCAAAGAGAACTTGGACGTCGGCCGCGAGAACGGTACAGACCCGGACGCGAAGGTTCTGCCTGACCCAGGAGACTCCTTAAGCCACAGTCATGGCTTGGGGGGCAGCCAGGGGGAGTTGTGTGCCCCCCAGGACAGCCAGGGGACTTTGGCCAACGGCTACCTTTGCGAGCAGAACGCCCACAGCAACGGCAGCCTCGACGGCCAGCTGGAGATGCGCGGGGAGGAGGAGGTGATGGACGACCAAAGAGGCGAGATCTGCGTCAACCCCATCTACAACCTATATGCAATTTCGGTAAGTGCAGGGAAAATTCCAACAGTCCGGAGAGCCAGGATTCCATCGAAAGGTGGAAAGTCCATTGCAGGGCTTGGCACGGATGGCAGAGATGGGTTCACAACTGGGTGGAACGAAGGAACCCAACAAAGATAGCTAAAAGGAAGGAAAACAAGCAGATAGAACAGTCTGAATTGGCCCAATCCTGTGTATTTTGGAAGAGTAGTTCCCACTCAGTGGTATACAGTAGGACCCCCATATCCACGGGATCAGTATCCACAGTTTCATTTATCTGCGGTCTAAAAACATTAAAAGAAGGGCTAAAAGGATAACTTGTTAGAATAGATAACTTGTTAGAATAGTCTGAATTGGCCCAATCCTATGTATTTTGTAGGAGTAGTTCCCACTCAGTGGTATACAGCAGGACCCCCATATCCGAGGGATCAGTATCCACAGTTTTACTTATCTGCGGTCTAAAAACATTAAAAGAAGAAACTTCAAAATGTGCATTTCCACAATGTATTTACCAGACGTGGCCCCTAAAGGGAGCCAAAAACCGTGGTATGCATAGGGCTTGCTATAAAAATATGTATTTCCATCATGTAATTACCAGAACTGGCCACTAGAGAGAGCCAGGCCATAATATGTAAAAGGTTTGCTATTATCCACGGTTTTCAGCATCCACAGGAGGGCTTGGAGCCAATCCCCCACAGATATGGGGGTTCTACTGTACATGGTGCCAGGGCGTAACATAATAACTGGTATGATCAGAACTAGAAGTTAGTCTTTCCTCACTAAATTAAAGGACGTGTTGCTTACTTACGTCTTGGCCAAAAAAAGGTTCTCCCTTGGCCTGCCGCTGACACGTTGCCCTTTCTTTCCAGTGCCATTCAGGAATCATGGGAGGAGGTCACTACGTCACCTATGCCAAAAACCCCAACGAGAAGTGGTACTGTTACAATGACAGCAGCTGTAAGGTAAGGTGTGCACGGCGCCCTTCCAGGAAGCTGGGGAGAGAAGCCGAAGAGCTTCTGGGGGGACCCGAAGGCCGCTCGTGGCCCCAGGAGGAAATCTAGGTGGCCCTCAATGTCCGATAGCAAAGCCTTGATCCTTCCTTGCCCTCTTAGGTCACAGTAGTTCCCAGCTTTGGGTCCCCCCCCCCGATATTCTGGGACTTCAACTCCCAGAAGCCTTCACCCCATTCACCGTGCTGACTAGGATTTCTGGGAGTTGTAGGCCAAGAACATCAGGGGACCCCAGGTTTGGGAACTACTGCTTTTGGAGATCCTACAGGACTCAGTTGTGAACTTGGTGGCTTGGCTTACCTTGTCCAGAAGACCTGGATGGACATTCCATCAAGAGCAGGAATAATGCCATGCAGAGACTGAAAGGGCGGACCGGCCACAACCAGGGACCTTCCTTTTCCTGTGCCCCCAGATAAACAAAAAAATAATAAAACGGATGGTACCGATTACACACACACTATAGACGAAATCAGGAAGACGTGGTATATTTCCTAACAGACTGTCCTCTGCATGCAGATGTGACGAATCTGTATCTTAAACCCTTAACATCTGGGATGAAAAACAATTCCCCTTTAGGTCCAGTTTTATTCCTGTGAGCTGGCGCAGACAGCTCTATTTCCTATACAACCTCTACATTAATTAAAGGAGCCACAGAAAGACAGAACTCATGGCCTGCTTCTGAAGCTCTTCAAGTCAGTTGCACAGCTTGGCACTTATTTGAGAATGCTTATTTTATTATTATTATTCCACGCTTCTCCGGTTGTTTATATGTACTTATCGTAGAGGTCAGATACTGTTTTTAAGACCGGTTTAATCCAGGCTCTTGCGCAGAGCCTGGTGGGCTGTAAAGCAATGAAGCCTTGATTCCTTTGGAACTGTAACGTGTTTTAAAACATGAGGGTTTTTTTTTTTTATTTAACCAAACGCACAACCATCTCTCCCCTCTGTCCCTCCTTCCGCCAGGAATCGCATCCGGACGAAATCGACACGGACTCTGCCTACATCCTTTTCTACGAGCAGCAAGGGGTGGATTATGGACAGTTTTTGCCCAGGATCGATGGCAAGAACATGGCTGACACCAGCAGCATGGACGAAGACTTTGAGTCCGATTACAAAAAGTATTGTGTCCTGCAATGAGCAGTGTCTGCCAACATCGGTCAAAAAAAAGGGTTGCTTCCACCGGTTTGACACACACACACAAAAAGTTTATTTGTTTTTTTAACCAAGTGGAAGAGCGGAATGCAGTTTTAACTTTGTTTTTATTTTCCTCTCCTGGTCAGAAAGCACAACATGAAGAAAGGTGGCAAGGGAGGTGTGGGGAGAAGAGAAAAAAATAGCCCTGATTAAATGGCAGTTGACACTATGGGATGATATTGAATTTGTTCAGATTTTTCACGTGGCCACCCCCCCTCTCAGCGAAAACACCCTGGTCTTTTGCCTTCCATCTTTTAAACTGGTTTGGCGCCAGCAAAATGAGGGCCAAGTCCATTCACGTCTTGGATAACTTGCGTAAGAGACTCATCTGGCTGCTTTTTGTATCATCTTAAGGAAGAAAATATGGGGTGGTGATGGGGGAAATGACCTTTTGAATGCTCTGCTCTGATTTTGGATGATTAACTTGTAGTGTTGTCTTCGCGACGGCACGAAACGCCTACCTCCTTTCCCCCCCGATGTTTTGTTCCCTTTCAGCAGCCAGACGAGGAACGCAGGACCAAAAAAAAAATCCTAGGGGATTTTAATTGTTTAATCCTGCAGGTCCCCGTCTCAGTTGGAGCGTGTGTTTCTCTCTCATGGCTGTTCCTTTACATTGCCTTGAGAACAGGACGGCCTTTTCGACTCCGGTCTGCTGCGGTGCTGTCCTGGTATATTTCAAAATGAGCTCTGAATTTTTATTTTTATTTTCTTGAGACCTCTGACCTTTCAGAGCCGAGATGAGATGACCTTGGGTCGGTGGAGAGGTTCTGAGGAGAGGAAATTGGTGGTGGAGATTCTTCCTTTCAGACCTGACGTTCACAGAGCGGGTTTTACATATCTTTTGCTGGCTTGAGGGCACAAGCTGTGTCCCAGATCCTGCCAACTGCACTTGGTGGGTGTGCAGACATATCACCGTCGACCCACCTTAAAATCTCCCAGAGCCCACTGGCGAGGGGGCATCATCTTCGGTGATTTCCAGAACAGAATTTCACAGGGGATTGTGTGAATCGCCCCTTCTAACCTTCCCCAGCTGCCGAGTCAGAGGGAGTCCTAGTTTACTGTCGGTGCCAATGGGAGGTGCTTTTTTAAAACTACAATTCCCCAGACGTCCGCATCTCGCCTCGCCACTTCCGGAGGCTGTTTCCAGAGGCAGTGTTTGCCATCTCTGTGCCAAGGTAAAATTGGAACACAGGGCAGGGCATCAAGAAAATTGTGTCAGATAAAATGCCGGTGGGGCGGCCTCTCTGAACGGTCAAAAGACGGCTGACATTAACCGGTTGAAGGAGAAAACTACCCTCCCCATTTCAGGCCACCTTCCCCTTTATGTCTGGTTGTGTGGATTTTGCTTTAGTTTTTTAAAACTGCACTTTTTTTAAAAAGAAGGTCAGAGAAAGCCTACTTTATTATATTAATGTAGCTTGGTTTGGGGAGAAAAGGGGGGGAGCGACTTAGCCACCAGTTTTCCTATAATGAGCAAGCATTGTGTCTGGATCACAGAGATTTAAAACGGTGTTTTTAAGTCTCAAGCTCAAAAATCCTTAACTCCACAATCCCACGGTCCGTGGCTGTGCTCCCGGGGGGGGGGAGGTATTCGGGGAGCTGAAGTTTCTCCGAAATGACTTTTCCGACAGCCTGGCAGAACTGGCTGCCTTCTCTCCGCCATCGCCCTGAGAAAAACGGTGGCTTGCATTTCTTCTGGGAACAAAACGAGTATTCATTTGTCGCCTGAGAAGCAGAATGAACCGAGAACTTCCCCATCAGGGCTGGGACGCCGTTCAGGCAGGTTTGTGGTCTGTTCCTGTCGGATGCTGGATCGCTGGCTCTGCAAAAGACAGGTTGCATCTGAATTTTCCGATTTCCCTGGAGAGGTCTGAGGCGGCGGGTAGGTCTTTGAATGCCTTTGGACAGAAGAATATTCGACCTACCCAGGCAGACAAGTGGAAAACCACATTTCTAGCCACCTGCCTCCAATCCACTTCTTACAGAGGTATTTTTTTTTGGGGGGGGGAGAACTAGGACCGTAATTGGTTTAATCCGGATTCTCCTCCAGCAGATGATTTCATAAAGTTGCCGGACCTTGATGACAAGGGTGGTCGTTTCTCAGATTGTCAAGTGTCTGAACGAGCCGGAGACAGCCAGGCCATCTTTATTTTAAAAACTGGAAGACCGGTTTAGTTCTTGCCAAACATGTGGATTTGGGTTCGGATTTGAAAATTGGGCTTGGAAAGGGGGCAAGGAAACGGCCTCCTTTCAGAGAAAACGTCTGGCCCGTGGAAAACTAGTCAACCCTTTTTTTTAAGTAGATTTCTTGGTGGAGGACTTTAAAAATCAGTATGTTGTAGAGAGGAACCCTCTGTTTTCCTGGCATTTTGCCGTGGTGCAGTCTGAGCCAAAATCACATTATTTATATCGGTCTTTTTCAGTGTGTTTTCTTGCCTCTTTTTTTCTGAAGCCAAACCTTCATGAGCTTATTTCCACGGAGGGAAAAGTTTTCCTCTTTGGTCTTTCTCTGTGGCTGACCTTCAGCATTTATTTTAAATTCTCCCACCCACCCAACTTTGCTTTATTTTGCCACCTGTGCGCCTGGCTGCCTCCTTTAGGGCTGGCTGCAGGGGGGGGGGTGTTGCCATTTCCCGATGACCCTTCAGTGGCCATTTCGAGCCAAACCTTATATATAGCTTTGCAAAAATGCTTTCCCCCCCCCACCTCCACATTTGCCAACCGAGGCCCCTAATTTCCAGGCCCAGAAAGTCACAGAGTGGGTCAGCCATGCCCCACTGCAGAACCAGAGTGTGGTCGTGGGGGGTTTCACATCCATAGCCAGAGAAAGTGATGGTGGGGAATGGGACAGATCTTGGAAAAGTTACTTTTTTTAAAACCAATCCTTCCAGAATCTCACAGCCAAATGGATTTGGAGATTTTTGTAGTCACAAAAAAAAGCAACTTTCCGAAACTTTTTTGCCATCCGCAGAAATCCAGCAGTAAAGTCCTAAATAAAGCAGGGCCACTGAATCAGTGGAATATATACTACATTTCAGCCACTGTGTCCAAAGTTGAGAAAGCGTTTGATTTTAGGACAACGGTACTTAAGCTTCCTGGGAGCCGTGCTATCTGTGCGATGGTCTAAAACAGCCAGACGCTTCCCTTCGTGTGATGCTTTCCCCTCTGCCCCAAACGAGAGTGGGATGGGGTGGGGTGGGGGATAATATGAATGGTGAATTAAGACATGGTCCTTAGTGGCCACCCTGATCCCCACCAGCATCCCATGTGATGTCACGTGCGATGGCCAGTTACTTTTGACCAGAAACAAGAGCTGATGATACAGGATTTTGGGTGGGGCGGGCGGCATTGTCCCCAAAATCTGGAGTCATGGGTTTTCTGTGTCATCTTAGGGAGACAGTCAACCCCGTCTTCCGCCTTGTGGGCCACAGCAACGGACAAGGGTCTGAACCAGCCCTTAGGAAATCTCAACCCCCTCAGAAGCCAAATTTGAATTCATCCCCATTCTCTCTTTCTCTCTCTCCCTCTCTCTTTTTAAATCCCCATGCCTCAATTCCGTGATTCCTAGCCCAAGATTTTAAGCTTTGCCAAAGGGGTAGCCAGCTGTTGATGCAAACCCCAACAACTGGAATCTGATTTGGGTGGGTAGTATGACCTAGTGGGGAGGAAACACCAGTCCCATGATGCACTGCTCTCCCCTAGCTTTTCCTGCAATGAGACGTTTGAAATCAAAGCCTTTTTTTTTTCTTTTTTAAGGGGAGAACAATGACTTCTGTATCCCTCTGTTGAACTCTTCTGCAGACATTTTCAGATTTGCTTTCTTTTCAGATGCTTTTTTTGGGGGGAGGGATGTCCCCCCCCCCGTTTTAGCAGGTATCACGATCTATTGACTAACGTCATTTTAACCTTTCCTTCTTTTGTTACTTTGGTTGTAATTTTTTAAAAAGAAAAACAAATTTAAATTAATTACTAAATTTAACACAAAAATCTATTAAGTTAACTCTTTAACCACATTCACTTTGTATATTGTTGTATAAAAAAACTTATGACATTGCACTGAATTTAGAAAGACCATGTACATACCTACTTTGTAAATAATTTAAAGAAGTATTAATGTATTGGAATATGAACTGTATAAAAAAAAGGTCCAAGTAACTGTATATGGAGTGAACCTGTTTATCTGTAACTATATTATCCAGACCCATTAAATACTGTGGATGCAGCTGCAGTTCATTGCCTGAAATATTTGTTTTTTAAAAATAGGTTTTTCTAAATCCACATTTCTCAGCCTGGCTCCCTCTCTCAAGATGGGTTGGCCTGCAACTTCCATCATCCACATACTGACTTCTGGCTGGGGATGATGGGGGTTGCAGGTAAATCTACCTGAAGAGGGTGTCAGGTTGACATGTCCCTGTGTGAAAATGGTCCCCAAGTACTACCTTTGGTTCCCCCCCCCAAACTAAGTGGTTGTAATTGAAATTCAGTATTATTGTGGGGGTGGCAGCTGTGGACTCCATTCTTCCAGGGGAGCCCCGGGGTCACTGGGCAGCTTGCCCAAGGCTACCTAGGAGTGGCAGCCGCAGACTCACAATAAAGACCGAAGGTTGTGCAGATTTGCAGGTTTTTTTGAAAACACATCTGCACACCTCTAGTGAAGACTGTTGTGGACTCAGTCAGTCCGAAACACAACAACCATGGCATCAAAGAGTGACCGTGTTTGTCTTACACTCAGATGCTGCCGGAAAGGGGGAGGAATGTGCCGATGGTTGGCATTGTCTCTAAACACCCTGCTTTCTCATATTATCATTTCGTGCATTTTGTTGCATGTGGAAGTGTTGGCAAAAATCAACAACTTGTGGCAAAAGGCAGCCACAGAACTGCGGTCAGAAATGCTCCCTGGTTTTGGATGCAGGCTGGCCCACAGCCGGTAGAGAGCAGTAGTGTCCCCTTTGCAAATTTATGCCCAGTCCACTTAATGTGAGTTAAAATACCCTATGCTATCAAGTCAATTCTGACTCCGGGTTTTCCAGGCAGAGAGGACTCAGAAGTGGTTTCCCATTCCATTCTTCCAGGGGAGCCCTGGGATCACTGGGCAGCTTGCCCAAGGCTACCCAGGCTGGCTCTTTTCCTTTCAGTGGGGAATCGAACTCCCAACCCCTTACCCTAAACCACTGAGCTCTCCAGCTGGCTAGAGATAAATAGATGTTATTTTGTCCCTGGTGGGTTTTTTTCTCCACTCTTTCTGTAAAAAAATATCTGTACCTGCCCAAGGCTTGATCCTGGAGGCGTCCTGGGAAAGGGGGCAACAGTTTGGGTCTATAGGAAGAGCCCTGGGATTAAATGTGTCCAAAGTTTTCCCCAGGGAGTCTCCAGGATCAGGTCTTGGGCTGGCGCAGATATTTCCCCAGGAAGTGCCGAGGCAACCCACCACGACTGAAGACATCTTGTGAATATTGTCTCTTGAAAGGGTTGGAACTTTTTAAAAATCCTATAATTTACAATGTCAAAGTAGCCTGTGGACTGCAATTCCCATCTGCCTTAGGCATGAAGGATGCTGGGAGTTGCAGCCAAGTGCTGTCCGAAGGTCGGGCAGTTATTAATCCCCCCCCTCATCCATCACATTTTATAAAATATGCCTTTTTCTCTGTCTAGTTTACGTTTTTCCAACAAACTTAAACAGATCCAGTTTTAATTTCTGCCAGGAGTTTGCTGAATTTCTGCTTTCTCTGGTCATGAAGAATTACGTCTTGTCTATCTCGAAAGATTGATCACCCTGCCTAAATCTCTGCTGGGGCAAGAGCCTTTTTGATTGGCTTCCAAGAATAATCAATTTATGAAGGGAGGCTTTGTAAAAGAGGTGCACTTGCTTATATTTGAACGGGTATCTATCTAGAATATATTGTTCTTTTCTAAAGGTTACGGTGCACTTTGGGAGCTGTGAGATGTTTCCGCATCCATTTCAAATAATGTCTTTTTGAGAAAATTTGTGCCTTCCTCACTCCTTCATATGATCATCTATTTAATAATGCTTTCTTGATATTGTAATAATTTATTATTTATCTTTTATCTTTGTTTCTTGTAATACTATAAGCCGCCTTGGAACCATTTAGGAGAAAGATGGCATATAATTAAACAAATTGTTTATTTATTTATTAATATTTGGAGGGAAGAAAGGAAGGAAATCAGACAGGCTAAACTACAGCCTCCATCATCCCAGCCAGCTTTGATGGGATTTGTAATCCAGCATGCACAGAGGCCTCTCAGGTTGGAGGAAGCACGGAAAATGCATTTAAATGGTATCAAAGTATGCACCTGCCCAAACAGATAGTTTGAGATTTTTAAAAAGCGATGAGCAAAGAAATGATTTGGACAAGGCATGTGGTCGATGGAAATCTTGCGTGAAATGCAATTTATTAAGTAATAAGCTGCTGTGAGACTCTTTTAAGTATGTGGCGAACAGACCTGGGAAATTTTCATGTGTGTATGTCCTATAACTCCCATGCTCCTTGGGGACTGTGTGAACTTTCATGTTTTAAATACTGTATATATTTTTAATGCATAATTAGCATTAAATATATTAAAGCATTAAACATACCGACATCACTTCGGTATGGCTATTGGATGTCCATTTAGCTCCATTTTAAGGTTTGCCGAGGCAATCATCCCTGCTCTGAATCCCGGGAATTGGCCACTGCGCCTCCCAAGTGTTGGGTCTCTCCTGATACTACAACTCCCAGGATCCCCAAGCAAGGTGCCATCCTGCCTGTGGAAGCAGGACCAAAGTGATGTAACGATGCCATACAGACGGGCCTTTCTTTGGGTGGGTTTTGCTGTTAAAACTGGGACATTTTGAGCCACCTCGTTAGCTGCCAACGAGGGACACCTGAGCCTCCCCTGAAGGAGGGAAGAAGGCCTCAAAATGGCCGCCGGACGCTGCCTGAGGAGATGCCGGCTTCCCCAGGTGAGTGGGAACCAAACCGTTTAGGACTTTTTCCCTCAGGAATGGGGTGGATGGGAAGGAAGGCTGCCATTTATTTTTCTCCTCCTGGCAGGATTTTTTAATTATTTTTTTTATTTTTTTGATAAAGATAAATGAGGCTTTTGAGGACAAAAGCAAAGTCAACTTGCCAGGCGGGCATGTTTTAATGACCTTTCGCTCACTTTTGAAGGAAAATTCTTTTGCATCGTATATTTTATATTATCCTTGGTTTCGTTGCCCTCCTCTTGACCAAAGCTCTTCTTTCTGGCCTGTGCCTTTTCTCTGGACCCGTTTCTCCATCTTGTGGACCAGTTTGGGGAGAAAGGAAGGAGTGGCATCAAGATTTAAATAATAGGATTCAGTGCAAAAGATTAATATTTAAGGGGAGGCTAAAACAACGTTTTTGGGACACCCACCCCCACAAATCTCCCACCTATCCCTCTCAACACCACGTCCCTTCATGAGGTACAGTTTAGACAGTTTATCCCCATAATAAATGTGTTTTAATTCAGTTTTTTTCCTCCCTCACAGACCTCTCGGTTTTGGGGGACCCCATAACCTTCACTCCCACATGTCGGGGGGCCTGATTGCTTTGCATGCCCAGAAACCCTTCCATCCTGTGCATGAAGGGACCCATTTGTGGAGAGTAACAATCTTTTATGTCTTTGAAAGATTTTTTTAAAAGAAGTAATATTTCTTTCACATCCTTCTTCCAAGGAAGACATCACAGGGAGACTTTTTCTTGACATGTGGATCCCGACTTCCCCCTTGGCTCGCCACCTCCCCTACTTTTTCCTCACAACAGCCCTGCAAGGTAGGCTCAGGCGGTGAGAGTGGCACCCAGAGAGCTTTTTCGATTCACTGAAGAAGTATCCACAAAAGCTCACATTGACATATAACCACTTACACCTCCAACATTTATCTTTCTCATTTTTCTTCACCTTTGCCAATTTCTCTGGTGTCATATACCATCTATATAATATTTTCATATAATTTTCCTTCAAATCTGTACTTATTAATAGTTTTTGGTTATCGTTCCATGCTCTAATAAGCCAATCCTCTGTCTGAATTGTTTTACCTAATTCCTGCATCCATTTTATCCTATTTTCTTTAACTACTTCCTGTTCCATATTTCTTTCCAATAATAGTTTATATAACTTTGCAGCTTGGTGATTCATTTATAATTAAACCTGCTCATTCTCCAAAGTCACTGATCATTTCTTTAAGTTTCATAATACTGTTCTACATGATGGGTCTTCCAGAAAGATTACCAGATCATCTGCGAAGGCTCTTACTTTAAAGTGTTGCTTCTCAATTTTTAAACCATAAATTTGTTCCTCTTTTCTTATTTTCCTTAGTAGTACTTCTAATGTAGTTAAGAACAACAGGAGTGAGAGTAGACATCCTTGGCGTGTTCCTCTAGAAATCTGACATTGATTAGGTTGTTTTCTCTCCATTTACTATTATTCTTGCATTTTGTTTGCTATATATGCTTTTTATCCATTTAAAAATTATCTCCTACTTCTATTGTTTCTAGAACTTCAAACATAAATTCCCAGTTACAAATATTTAAAATAAATAAATAATAAAAAGCGAGTGGCAGGTATATAACGCTGTGGTTTTATTTTAAAAGCTTGCTTACACCACTGGGGGTAGTAGAAAAGGGACGAGGTTTCTTGCTGGAGCAGATTCAGTTACTTTCACCCAAGAAAGGACCTCAAACAAAGACTTCTAAACTCTGAAATAAACCTGCTTCAGCTGCTCTGCCCGTCTGCCTCCCTTTCTGATTCACCGAGTTACTTCCTGATAGTCATTTCCTCAACCTCTTCTCCTGTCGCCACTTAAGAGGGTAACAAGAGCCCCAAACATGGACCAGGACAATGGCCTATGTAGTCCAGCATCCTGTTTCCAAGGGTGGCTGGCCAGGTGCCTTAATGAGAAACCCAGAGGAAGGTCAAAAGACCACAGCTTTGGCAAGTTCATTTAAGGGAACAACAAATCCCAGAATCCCCTTGCTCACATAATATTTGGCTATATTGACCTCCTTCCACAATTGCTCCTTGTCGATTTGTCTTATACGGGATAGATTAACTCTTAGCAAGGATATTTTGGGAAGAAGGAGGGAGGGGCTGCGGCTCAGTGGAAAGACCTGTGCTCCAAACAGCCTCTCCCTGCCTGCTGTGTTGGATTACAGAGCCCATCACACACACACACCCCACTAGAGGGTTGGAATTCAGGATCCAGTATATCCAGAGTTATCCCAGTTGTTTTAAAAATTATACACCCAACCAGTCTTGTTGGGGGTCTTAGAAGTTAGTCTTACTCCTTTGATTGGGTTCAAAGGAATATGAATTGTAAGTAAGAAAGAAAAAAAAAGCACAGAATTTTATTCAGATTTATTTCATTTAGAAGGTTCTGTGGCTTGGTACAATCAGGGTAAAGTGGGCTGTAGAATGGCCCAGATTTTTGCATTTATTGCTTGAGTTGCCTTATTCTGCCCAGTAGACAAAAAGGGAACATGTGCCATGTTGGGGTGTCAGTGGGGGGAGTCTACCTCCTCCTTAAATTAGATTTGTAACTTCCATCCTTATATTGACTGAGAGGTAGTCGTGACTCAGTGGTTGAGTCCCTGCATTGTGCATAGAGATTTGGTCTTGAGCATCTCCCATTTTGTTTGTTTGCTTGCTTTTATAATACAGTATATGGTTAAAAATAAAGCTGATGCACTAAAAGTGGAAAAGCAGAGCTTTTTTTAAAAAAAGCAGACCATACAGATGATGACTCCCAGAATCCCCTAAGCAGAACATGTCCCAAAATTAACTTTTACAAGTTCTGGAAAGAACTGAGTTGTCTCTCATAAACGGGAGAGGTAAATACAGTAGTTGGAGTATGCATGTCTATGACCCTGGTTTCTCTTATTACCTCTTTATGTGAGTGCCTGAGATACCATAGAATAACTTTTTAAAATACTGTATATACAGTACATTCAAGAGTAGACGATGCCTTTATTGGCCACTAAAATAAAATGTAAAAAAAGGCCACGTGAGCAGACAGCGAACTTTCATGGGTCAAGTTCACTTCTTCAGGCCATAGTGCAGAAAAATTACAAAGGTCCCAGAAATTCACAGGTGAGGTCAAACGATGGCTGCAAGTGGCTTTTGGGGGTGTATGGTTTTGAACTTCACCTCCAGTAGCTTTTGGCTGGAATTTTCCATCCAGCTCTCCAAACAAAGGCCTGAAATAAGTTGCTCATAAATTTTTTTACAAACGGCTACAGTAAATCTGTAGCTGTGGCAGCTGGGTTAGTGTTTTATAGGCTGATATTAAGAGCTGGGATCCTTTCTTTTCTGGTTCAATCTGTAATCTGCACCAGGTGAAAAGCCACCACCTGTAACAGACGGTTTAATCTAGGACTTCTCAGAAGAAGTCTTCCTGATATGTGCACAAGTGTCTTTTTGACCTCTTAAGGATCTAGGATGGAAACCGTCAAATCAGAGATACATATGACGGTCCGAAGGTTTTCTGTACAGAGTGGTGTGATTACAGGGACTTCGGCAAGTTTTGGGGTCTGTCTCTTAATTCTGGGTCTTTGCTGCCAAGTCCCGAGTCCCTATTAAAAACAAGTCCCCCCCCCAGAAAAAAAGGGAGAGGTAGGGTGGGTTATGAGTTGCGAATTGCATCTGAGTTATTGAAAGAAAAAGGGGGAAAAACAAGTCCTAGTCAAGTCACTCATGTGACTTAAAGTCTGACTTGATCACCAAGTCCTGCAATTTAAGTCCCCACCCATGGAGTATAGTCAACCTCTTTCTTTCCGGTTAGGTCCAAAAAAGTATTTCTTTGTAGTGATAATGGGTATCAAACTGAACTTCTATGAAATTAACTCACCGCCCCCCCCAAAAAAAACCCTTTTCAGATCCCTTTCATTGCTCACCCTAATCTCAAATGGATGTATCAGTTCCTTTAATTTTTTTCTCTCTTAAATCTTTAAAAAACCCTACTGCCTCCAGCACCTCCTTTAAATCCTGTACCCCACAGTTCCAGGCTTGCTCCATTCTGCCTCCCTAGGGGTATTTCTCCTCTGGCTGGGGTTTCCGTTACCTCCTCCACGTTCAGGTCCTCCGTATGGGTTTAACTGTCGCTGGTGTGAGGATCTTTCCCAGAAGCTGTAGGACTCATCTCCAGAGGACCTGGGTTTGGGTCAGCCTGGTTACAGTCCTCAGGCCCGGGCTGGGGCCCAATGGCTCATCCCCAGAGGTGTCCCGTCCCTGTCTGGCCCTCGTGATCTGTTTAATTTGTTCATATACTGCCCCACAATAACTTTCTTGGAATAGCTTCCAATAAATGAGCATTCAGAAAAAGAAATTTAAAAATTTTTCAACAATGTGGTCTGATGGAAGCTTTTTTCTTGCAGTGCCCTGCATTAAACTTTCATCCTGTAACTTCCCCCCCATCTAAGAGTTTGAAAGAGTTCATTCATCATTCCGTGTGCACGCACACACATACACACACACCCAAAAACGTTGCCACAACAGTCAACAGTGGAAGTTCTTTTGTTTCATCCTGTCTACGAACGTGGATGTCCTGCAGGGGAGAAAGGCAGCCGCAGGAAACGAGGCAGTGCGCATGCCAACCTAAACTCCGAAGGCCCAAATTGGCGCCATGCGAATGGCCAAAGAGAGGAAGTTTATCTCTGATAAAATAAACGGCCGGCCCTTGTCCTTAAGCCAGGCTCCCCGGACGGCTGGTCAAAATCTAAACATACTTTTCGGCATGAGTGTTTGTCGCCTGAGTTAGAAAACGGCACGAGTCCAACATCAACATGATGGGGGTCTATTCTTGGCGTGGGCGTAGTTGGCCAATTCTCTCTGGAGACAAACCAAGCTGAAGATGGAGTAGAGAGTGTCTGAATCACTGGTCTATGTCGTGATTCCTCGGACACGACTGGACAGCTCCCAGCCTGGCAGATATTATTAGCCAGGGTGGTGGTTGTGGAACAGGTGGCTAGCTGGGGGTTTAAAGGGCCAGGGTGGCCTCTTTGGCTTGGCTGGGGGGAATTGGATTACCCATGGGTGGGAAAGGTGTGTATGTGTGTGGCGGGAAACTAACCTGAACAGCATTTCTCCGTTGCAGTCTTTTATTTATTTATTTATTTTTTATTCCTCATTCCAGACAAAGAGATCTTAAATAATACAAAAATACGGAAAACAGCTTTGTGTATTTACCTCAGATATATAAATATACATTTGTTCTTTCTTACAGTTCCCCCCCCCCTTTAAGAAAATGAATTCTCTCTCTCAAACATTTTGGCTTTTCTTTTAAGATTTTTTCCCCTCCTTTTACACTGAATGCAAATATGAAAATATTTCTGTTTGCTTTACATTTTAAAGTTACCATGTTAGGGCCTGGATCTTTTCAGAAGATAAGTGGGTACAAAAAGGACTCGGTAAGCCAGCAACTGTTTCCCCCCCTCCTGGAGTTGACAATCCCATGTGGAGCCTGCAGATTTGATGGCAAATGGTCAAGGCTATATCACACAACCCTATTTCTACGTTATTTTCACCCATGCTCACTGGAAAGCATTCCAGTGTAAAGGATGGACTCCATACAACAGAGGAGCACTGCTCCCTTTACACCCACAACCAGTTCTCAGCAGCGCCCTTAATTAATTAACCAGTTGGATTAATCAAACAGTTAATTAAAAAGCCATTGATTGAAAACTGTACCCGCCCCATGCATCAGGCAAAAAACAGGAAAGAAACCTACGCAGACCAAAGGTAGATAATGAGAGTTCTAAAAACTATTGAATTACAATGTCTATCACCCCTGAAAGTTGCACTTAGTTGACAAAATTTCAGTGACTGAGTTGTCATGAAAAATATCTCTGTTCTGTACAGTATTTTACATGTGACTGTGTTGTTTCTCTCTCTTCTGCTGTGAATAGCTCCATAGGTGACTTGTAATAATTAAGACTAGGTTGGAGCAAGCTGCTGTAAAAGCACCCATAATTGGTGCCAGGAAATAATAACCCAAGAGAAACATTCCTAGGTTATTATTTGCTAGTTACTGCAGGAGAATTTAGTTCCAGAGTTCTTTTTTAATTTATTTTTATTTTGTTTTAGCCCGTACAATCAGCTCTCTGTGTGGCTGAACTAGGAGTATTCAACGCAGAGTATCCGTCACCTGAAAGCCGGCTTGAAAATGTATAGGTCGAAAGACGAAGCTGAGCTAGTTTTGCAGAAAGCAAAAGCATGGTGTGGCATTTTTAAGACTCATGCATTGATGGCAGCATGATTTTTCCAAATGGGAGGCCATGTTTGTCTGTTGCAAGAAAAGCAGCTAAGATCCTGATGGTCTTTAGCAACTTTTAGGTTTGATTGGGCACATATTTGGCCAGACTGTGGTTTACTTCTTCTGAACCACATCTTTGGAAATCCATCTACAGTCCATGAAGCCTTACATCAAATAAAACATACAGTGGTGCCTCGCTTGACGAGGATAATCCGTTCCAGCAAAATTGCTGTAGAACGAAATTGTTGTCAAGCGAAAGTAAAAAACCCATTGAAATGCATTGAAAACCGGTTCAGTGCATTCCAATGGGCAAAATACCTCAGCGTCCAGCAAAGTAATTGTCAAGTGGGGCACCACTGTACTAGGTTTTAGAGGAGTCTAAGACTCTTTGTTATGATACCCTGACTTTTTCCCCCCTTTAAATAAAGTTTAAAATTCCCTTTGCAAGATGTATAAAATGTAAACCCAATACATTTTATACCGTGTACCTAGTGGGGGTGGAAATCAGAGCAAACTTGATGTTGAAATTGTTATTATTAATGCTGGCCGTTGCCAAAACTGTGGATGTCCAGTTTTAACATCGCCTGGCAATAAGTGAGATAGTAAACTACATGTTTATTTTAATTGGCTTTGTTTGTATTCAGTTGTGCCTCCCTGCTAGAACTGGGATGAGCATCTGTTATCCAAGTCCAGCATCTGCTCAGCAGACGGCCCTAAGATGATACATCATGCATCTGATGAAAGGGATTATATGTTCTATATATTTAAAACAAATCAAACTACAGTAGATGTGTCAGACTTAAGGATGTCCCAGAACTATAGCTATAATTAGCTGTGAGGTTTATAGTCCCTTTTCATTCATGTAAGTCCAGCACCACAACTTTGGCGTTTAAATTTTTTAAGCCAAGACTTTTCAAGAACTGGGAACTTTGTAATTAAAAGACTTATTTTTAAATATCCAACCAGCCCTCCCCTAGATGAGAAAGGATGATGTACATGGTTGTGGGGATTAGCAGCAATATGTTTGCCGGAGGTGAAAAGCGGTTTGAGTCAGATTTATAGACGATCCTGTCACCCAAAGGCTGGACCGGCCGAAAGGTGTCCACCATCCATGAGTCGTTCTTGCTTGTGCCAAAATACAGCTGCATCCAAAATTCTTGGACCTGTGAAACACCAAGGAAACAAAAGCTTGATTTTCTGTCTCCCGCAGCCCGATCTTCTAGGATAGAGTGGTATTTCTCTCCCTATCTGGGAGCCCAAGAGTTATGGGGGTAGTCTTTTCTTTCCATATATTATCACCAGTCTATAGGCTTTCCTACCTTTAAAAAAGTCACTCAAAGCTGCTCCTTTCAATAGTGGAGAATGTGAATCGGAATCCATTCCCCCTCCCCAAATGCACTGGAGTTAACTGGACAGCACAAGACTGCATTGAAGAACAGTCTTCAATGTTAACTAGCAGCAGGAGGAACTGTTGATTTATTTATTTGCCAGTGCTTCATGGACGGGCACAGGTAAAGAGATAAACACCGTGCCAGTTAGTAACATTTGGTGACTAGGCAGGAACCTGGGGGGAAAAAAAACCACCACTTTTGCTTATTCTTTTCCCATTGCCTTACCTGCCCCAACTGGAGTTCTATGTTTTTTTCAAACAGAGTCCAAACGACATTCTCGTTACATCCAGGCGTGGTCAGAGAACCAGTGTACCGGTAGAAGCTGGTGAGGTCCTCTGTTTTAGGAATGAGGGAATCCAAGCGCAAAGCTGGCACCTTGATTTCATTTCCTAAGGACATAACCACAGAGAGAGAGAGAGAGAGAGAGTCATGGACTCCACAGCCTCCTGATTATCCCTTCTGCTAGTCTACTTTTCGTCCAGAGGCCAGGTGCCGTCCAAGCTATTTTGCTGCCTGAGGCAGAGCAAAATATGTTTTATTCCTCCAAGAACACAACTACCTTTCCCACACACACCCCCAGCCCTGCAATGTCCCAGCTGGTTCTGTCCTGAATTTTATTCATTCATTCATTCATTTAATTTTTATCCCGCTTCTCCTCCTTGTAAGACCTAAGGCACCTCACAATGAATCTTTTAAAGAACAAAATGAAAAACACATTAAGTCACTATATAAAAACAGCATTAAATTGATTATCAGCATGTTAAAAACACTAGAGTCAAACTATTTGGAAAAGTTTTAAAAGAACAGCAGCAAAACACACACACACAACACCCAGCATTAAAAGTTGGGCTCAGCTTTTGGTCATTTAATGGCTAAAGGGCTGTTTAAATAAAAATGGAATTTTGCCTGAGGGCAGAAAGTCAGTAAGGAGAGAGGGAGTCTAACTTCCTGTGGAAGTTCCAAAATATTGTACATTTATTATTGTCATGTATTGTTACTTTTAAGACTGACTTTGCATTCGTTGAGCCTCAGCCACTCCTTACCATTGAAAGAAATATTTTTGAGCCATGAAATGAGAGGAGTGTAGTTTTCGTTCCGTTTGCCCACCTATAACAGACAAAAATAATTTTGAAATGTGGCCATTTTAGAAATTCTGATTCCCGCCCCACCCCCCTTCCATCTCTGCGTTTTCAGCTTGCTGGTCCATCCAACCTCAGACGGCCAATTCTGGCAGTTGGTGGTTGTTGTTTTTAACTTTGAAGCCAAAACCTTGTGTTGTTTTTTTTAAAATGAAAATGTAAGCTTGCCATTTGGCATAATTTATTTTTAACACATGCCCATATTTCCCTGGGGAAATGCATGCACGCTCTCCTGCATGCACATCTTCAGCTAGTGGAATCTGCTGCCAGCAAAGATTCGTAATACAGAGTAAAACTGGTCCAACGACTGGACAAACAGGGTCATCACCCTCACCCCCTCAAGGCAGCCTCTGCTGCTCCCCTCTTCTGCTCTGCATTTCCCAGACACTCCCGGAAGCTTTCTGGTTGTTCAATAATACGTGAAAACCCAACGCAATGTGAGAAAGGTAGACCGGGAATGCTATAAAAATCACTTTTCTGTCTGGGCTTGTCTAAAACCTGTTATCAGCTGGAAACATCCAGTGACACAGAATCCAAAGAAAGATAAGGTATAATACACTGGCAATAAAACAGAGTTTATTGGATAAAACAGCTCAGCATATTTCAACCAATTTTTTTAAAAAAACTTCTTGGGATTTCTCCAAAATAAGTGAGTGCTGCAACAGCTACCATACTTACAAGGATACCAAGCTTGTAAGACAATGTGCTGTGAATTTATTATCCTTGTAAAGGTGTATGGTCACTTTTTTCCCCGCACCATGATTTAAGTAAGTTTAAGTTTGTTTTTAATGAAATTATCACCTGCACCATCTGTGCAAAAACCGTATAGGGATGCGATAATGTCTTATCACGTTTCTCCGAGTGACCAATGTGTTTTGTCTTGCAAAGCGACTGTGGCTTGTGGGACTGTACTGTGGGTTTAATTTCTTTTGCACCCACTACCCAAAGTCATAGGTTTCCACTAAGTCGGGTGGTATATAAATCAGATCGATCAATAAACAAACTGAACTGTAGCGCCATCATCAGAACGGAGGGGCTCTGAGAAAATCCTCCAACCCAGCCTGACAGCTTCCCGTTTCGAAGCAAGATTTTTAAAACCAAACTAAATTCCTTTCCTACCTCTATGAAGAATCCCAGCACCGCCACGCCGTTCTCTGCCAGGGCTGCCTTTATATCCTTAAATTGTTCCTTGATGTGCACAATATGGAGCTGTGAAAAAGGGAGAGAGGGATGAGGGGGTGGGAGGAAGTGTGGATGAAAGAGAAATCAGGAGTCCTATCTATTGAAAAACATTATTTTAAATATTGGGGGGAGAGAGCATACCAAACTTTTTATTTCTTTATTTGTATTAAGCACTGCACCATTAAAATGCAATACGAAATGTTTTTAGAGCAGTAGTACATAGGAAATAAAGTAAGTAAACACATAACAGCAATTTTTTCAAAATTACTTTTTAAAACCACAGTTCCCAGCATGTCCTAATCGGTGACTATGTTGGCCTGTGGGGGGGGGCAGCTATGAGAGTTTTCCTGGCTTTTTCTGGTTGAACTATGAAAAAAAAACTCTGAGGATGATATTCGGGCTGGTTCTCAAGAGAAATTTACCTAACACCTAATAAGAAAGGCCTGTGTCTCCATGAGATATGTGTCCTTCAACAGAAGCCAATGAAAGGAGATCCATTGCTAATAAAAAGGGCTCATTTTGTATGTTTCCATTCACTGTGATAAGATTTTGCAAATTTTGTAATCAGGGAGTTGCAAATTTCGAACAGGAGCAGGTCTTTTGTAAAGCTAACAAGCCTTAATCACCTATTGAAGCTCAAGCCTAAGAGACTTTGCCTAACAACAGGCATGGCTCAAAGTGGCAGATAGGGATGACTTAGGACAACAAGATCTCTATTCAGAGCATGGTTACCGTAGTCTCTTGAGACTGAAGGATGGCTACTCTCAGAACACAATACTCTTGCCATCTGCCTCTCCTTCTCTTATAAAGACTGTAGATAAACTCAACAGAGAAGGAACAGGGAAGTTTCTGCTAATAAAGAAGCCCTGGTTCTGCAGCATTGTCAATGCGAACACTGTACACAGAGAGCTACAATAGCAGGATGTGTACAACTGGTACATTTCTATAGAGCAGTCTACATTCAAAATATGGAAGTTACTCGGGAAAGTGTTGCTTGTGCCAGAGAAACTGGAGGATTAGGGTGTTCAGAAGCTAGAACTGGAAGAGTTTCCAGAGTGATGATTGCCCTGCGGGAATCATCTGCCAGTAAAACAAGAGCCGATTCGAACAAAGATCAGTCTGGTTGATGCTGCAAATTTCTGCATGTCTTTACCTCCATGGCATATCTCTCTCCATCAATGCTGTGCTCAGATCCGGGGCTGACCCTTCTGTTTTGCTGGCTGTCATCGTTCCCCCAATGGAAGTGAAATTGTATTGCCTTGTATTTACCCTGAAGGCCACCAGCCTCAATCTTTGCCGAGCCATCCAAATCGACCTGGACTGAAGAAGGCAAGAGATCTGGTCTCGTTATTATGCACAGGATAATTATGCCCGTGTGCAGTAAAGAAAGCAATAAAAAGAAACACTCAAATCCAGGGAGGAATAATTATGGCCCTCCAGTTTTCAATGATCTGCAGCTCTCATAAACCCTGAGGGGGGGGGACTGCAAAGGGCAGCCTGGAAAGTATTTCCCCCCTTCCTTCTACTTAGAAGGGAAAGCCTCTTTCCAGGGCGTTGGAGAGAATGGCTGAGACGACCCCCCCCCAAAAAAAGAACTGTTTAAAAACCAAACAAGCTTCCCTAAACCCCCTTAGCAAATGTAAACGATAAGGCAAATGACAGACTGAACGTTCACACAACCTTGATGGGCAAAACACGCCTGGCCTCTCACCCGTGTGGCCGTTGTTTGATATGGTCCAGGGGGACGACTGCTCGGTGTTGTACTTTTCAAAGCGGAAGGGCGCGAGGTTCCAGTCGTACTCCACTTTGCTGGTGAGGATGTTGATGGGGGACTGCTTATCCTTGCCACAATCATTGTCTAGCTGATCCCACTGGCGAGGTTCTTTTGGGAGCAGGATGGGAAGAGGAAGGAGAAAAAGCTTCAAAAGGTGAGCATGAACGAACCCGAACCAATGGATCCCTGCAAACCATGGTTGGCAAGTCAATCAATCAGATGCAGTCTTCCCCCCCCCCAAAAAAAACCCATTCAGTCTTAACCCCTTGAATGGTTTCCACATTTCCACAGACATCCCCTGTTTGATTTACAGCGTCTTTTTTTTTTTTTATGTGTTTGCATTCAGCTGAGTAGTCTTAGCTTGGCCACAGGTATATTCTCAAGAGAGCAATCATTTTGAGCCAAATCCAGCATACACCTAAGCAGGCTTAAGTCCATTGGAAAGCTGTGTTTTTTTTTTTAAATTACCTTTGCATTCTGGTTCTTTACATTTCTGGGAAAGGTAGCACCAGTGCTCTTTACCTGCAAGAGAAATAATAAACAGCTCTTAGACTTCCTTCCTTGTTTGTTTGTTAAGATTGTCTGATGGTTGGCCCCTCCTGCCAAATAAGAACGAAACCTTTTCACAATTTGAAGAACCTGGAATTTTCTCAAGAACCTTCAAAGAAGAGTATGAAGAAAAAGCTGGTAGTTCTTCCCATAAGCAAGAAATGTTTCTAGAAACTTCTTGCCAAGTTCCAAAGCAGTGCTGTTCTAGTTTCAGTTCAGGAATATAGAATATGAGCAAACACGTTAATTTTCAGATAAGTGGGAAGGTCCTGAAATTAAAAATATTGTAGTATGTAGTGATTGTGGCCAGTGTTCAAACCACCATGTTTTCTTTCAGTGCACTTTGTTCCATTCTCCCTTTTTCCTCGTTTTTCTCCCTGTTGGTCTCGCTGGAGGACAGTCAGCATCCTACCATTATTGAGCCTTTTCCATTTTTTCAAATCAAGCCTGAATGATCTCTGGAAGCAAAAATGATGAAACTCAGCTTGTTCTCCTTTGGGCACTTCATGAGAAGGCTAGGTTCCCTGGAAAAGACAATAATGCTGGGAAAGGTGGAAAGCAGCAGGAAAAGACGATGAGCAAATACGAGATGGATCAGCTCTATAAAGGAAGCCACACCCTTTTGTTTACAAAAGCTGAGCAGGACTATTAAAGACAGGACCTTTGGGAGATCACTCATTCATAGGTTTGCCATATGTCAGAGGTCACTTGGCAGAATATACCAACAATAAGTATCTATCTATCTATCTATCTATCTATCTATCTATCTATCTATCTATCTATCTATCTATCTATCTATCTATCTATCTATCTATCTATCTATCTATCTATCTATCTATCTATCTATCTATCTATCTATCTATCTATCTATCTATCTATCTATCCACCCATCTATCCATCTATCCATCCATCCATCCATCTATCCATCCATCCATCCATCCATCCATCCATCCATCCATCCATCCATCCATCCATCTTTCTCCTTAAAAAGGGCCCAGGGTGGCTCACATCATTAAAAGACAACATTAAATGCAAGTATATGGCCTTCCCAGTCTAAATACTGGAAAGTTATGGAATGATAACAAATCTTTAACCTTCTTCTTTATAACAGGGCAATAAAATGTGTCCCCTCTACAATTACCTTCCTTTAATGAAGATTAAACACTTTTTTGTAATAAAACAATCACTACCTCAGCTCACTTTGCACCTCTTTTAAGGTTTTTGACCTTGACTGGGCTCAGTCGGGTTGAACTGTTAGCACTTAGAGGCCTTCTGAGCTGCAGATTTGCAAGCTATCTGGTTTGGACCAGCATTTTTTCTAGACGGCATGGTGTAGTGGTTAAGGCATCAGTGTAGGCATGAGGGAGAGCTTGTTTTATAAGCTCATTAGGCGATCTTGTAACAGTCTTTCTCAAATAGCTCAGAAAGTTACACTTGAGAAGTAATGTGTTTCCATTACTTGCAACAGTAGTTTAGTCGCAAAATAATTTGATGTCATTATACCCTACAGCTCTATTGAAAAAGAAACTTGTGTTATTTAACTTCGCTGCCGGTTCCTTGTGCATTACTTTCTGCTTTACAAAAAAACATAAACAAAAAGAGAAGTGAGAATGAAAACCCCTGTCAAATTTTCCCCCCAAAAACTGGATACGCCCCTCTAAAAGTAACTTTTGAAAAGGAGAAAGTTGCTCCAGGAAAATAGCTTTGGGCCTCGAAGTGTAACTTTGTTACTGCAAAGGAACTTGTTAAAGTTAATTGGGTTATTTATAACAACCTGCCACTTCGACACTCTTGTTATTTGGAAGGGGGGGAAAACAGACCCTCGTTCTGTGACGCAGGACGAGTCTCAGGGGAAGGCAGAATTGGTGCATTCAGAGTCCCCACCCAGCCCCACAGCATTGCAGCATCCTCACCAAAGTCAGAGAATCTTCCTTGAAAAAGGAAAGTTCTTTTAAAGGTCACTGGAGATTGCTCAGGCAAGCAAAAGCACATTTTCTCCGTCAGCAGAAATTTTGTATCCTACTCAATAATTCATTGAAATGTCCCTGCTGGGTGTCTCTTTTTTCTCCCCTGTCAGCCTTTGCACTCGAATCAGCCCGAGATTTCTGGGGATGATGAGCGAGAGATTCCCCTGGAAGCCAGGTGTAATTTGAGGTGGTGATAGGCATCCGTGTTGATATGCTGGGGAATAGTTTTCTTGAAGAAATGGTTTGTTCTCACTCTCTCTGACCTTTGTTACTTTCCATAAACGCCTGAGACTTTGCTTGACATCTCTCCTTCACTCAAGGAGGAACGCTGTCATCTTGAAGGCATTCTGTCGGTTTGAATTGGGAGCGCCTGGTGGCAAAGGGAAAGGAATCGCAGCAGCCCAAGAGATTTTCCTGCCTGAGGCAAAAAGCAGCCTCCTTTCTGTGTCCAGAACATGCAGTAAAATCTAATTTCAGCACTGGGGACAGGACAACGCGTGTCATGCCCAGCTGTGTCCTTGGAAGAACTTGGAAAAGGTTCGGGTTGGACTACAGCTCCCAGAACCCCCAGTCCGCTTGGGAATTGTAGTCCAGTTTGTTTCCTCACGGACTTTTGTCCTTTGACAAATAACGAGTTACTTGGCATCCATTTTTGATTGCAGTCCTTACTGCATAAGCAAGGTGACAAAACTCTTGATTTCCTGTAGGAGTTGTTTTGTTTCATTTCCCTGATGAAGGCGCATATTTTTTTTAGGGTGCTGTTTGAGGGACAGGGAAGAATTTAGCTGCGTGGGGGGTCTTACTTTTAGGTTCCTTTCCATCTTTACAGCTTACCAATCTGGATATTGCTTTCTTTTTGCAATCAGTTAATAAATGGGAAATACACACCATACACACAAAAGTTCAGTGGCAGGCATTCCCCACTCAGGTGTTCTTGGACTAAAACTCCCAGAAATTCCAGCTGGCACAGCTAGTGGTGAAGGCTTCTGGGAAGTGTAGTCCAAGAACATCTGGGTGACCCAAGGTAGGGAACCACTCTTATGAGCGGTTCTCTGGCAAGGGACTGCAATTTTTTTTTTAGCCATACTTCCGTAATTCACCGGATTGGTCATAAGTCAGAAGCGACTTGATGGTGCATAAAAACAACATTTTAAAAATAACCTCTCCATTTTCTGAAGTGTAGTTTTTGTTTTTTTAAAGGCTGCTTTTAAAATGGATGTGTGGATAAGAATCCCGGTAAGCCTTGTGTTTTTGCATGAAGAGCAGAGACAAGAGGTGGGAGAAAGAGGTGGAGAAATTTTTTCCCCATCTAGAAAAGCCTGAAGTTACTTTAGAACAAGAGCATAATGAGGGATAATGGCATTCCTTCTGCAGTGTAACCCTAACTAGTTTTAGTTATTGCTCTAGTTAAAAGGGCGCAGCCTAGTGTGTAGGTTATTAATGTGTTTTGGACTGTAAGCTAGTCGCTTGCCCCATTCTGATGCACTTTTTGGGGGGGAAATATCTACAAAAGACAAGTCTTTAAAAAAAACTAATAATGATGGTAACTACCTACTTCTTTATGGGGGGAAATATCTACAAAAGACAACAAGTCTTTAAAAAAAATTAATAATGATGGTAACTACCTACTTCTTTACAGCCTTGGAACTGTGACTGTATATAATTACGGTTTAAAAGTAATTTTTCCAAAAGCTGCTGCCTCAAAAGACTGGCCCTGGTTAAAAAAAACTTTCCTTCTAGTTATTTGTATGTGTTTATTTAAATTAATTTTTTAAAAACTGGGGTTTGGGGCAACTAGGGACTAGGAATAATGTACCTTTTTTTCAGTTACTCCTATTTTGATTTATGTTTCTCCAGAATGAGCGGTGTTTTTTTTTCTCAGATTATCCCATTCTGCTGTGCTAGGCATGAACTGGACTTAGCCTCCAGGGTGAATGATTCATGCCCACCTCCCTGAGTCTGTCTTCGGGCCGAGGGGGACCCCACATATTTATGCCTCCCCAGACAAAAGGAAGGGCTGCTTTCACCCAAACCCTGGCGGGAGAAGCATGGAAGAGCCAGTGACGTCTCCTTCTGTAGAGGGAATAGACAGATTATCACTGCCTTTGTTTCCCCAGGCAGCAAAATGTCTTGGGCTACTCCCGTGGGATTTATGTGTTTCTTTCCCTGATTATTTTTTTAGTTCCTTCCCAAAATGCCATAAATGATGTCTGCTTTCCCTCTCTTTTTTTCAAGGGATGATGCAATTTAGACACTTTTGTTCCCAAGATATCAGATCTTTCAGAAAGCTGTTGCGGAAAACGAATGCTTAAAGGCCATCTTGAGTTCACAGAGTCGATAACAAGAGCATAATGGGACCCCCTTCCCACCCCACAACAAACCTGCCCTTTGTCCCGTCTCATTCATGGGGTGGATTGCTCTCCAGACTTTCCAATTTTACTCTGTCCCTAACTTAGGACAATGCAAGGAAATAGCATCTCTCTCACACACACATACACCACTGTCCCCCAGGTGTGTACATCTCTCTGCCAAAAGACCAAGAATGGAAACATGCACAATAGAACCTCAAGTGGAATCCATGTGACGTGTGTGTGTGTGTGTGTGTGTGTAAAAGTGTGTCCTCACCCAGTTTCAAGATCTTCTGTTGTTTAGCTGCCGTAGCATAACGTGGCTACCCGTAAGCAAATCCAGACTGAAAGAAGGGGAAAGGCACCACGTCTGTTAATCCCATATCTTGCCTGTGCAAACCACACTTGTGGAAAGGACATCATTACCAGTCAGTTGGACTGCAAGACGTCAAAATGGAGCCAAAGACTTTTTTCTCCCCTTTCCCCTGTATTTCATGCATACATTTTATATTTTTTAAAAGCTCCCCACTTCGTGAATTTCAGTTTTCTTTCAGTTGTTATACAAAAAAAAAGTGTGTACTTTTTCGATGGTGGGGTAATACTCTACCCCTTGGCTGCTACATTTTTCTGCACTTTCCCCATCTCTGTCTGTGATGTT